GGGGAGGGCTGAGGCGCGCGAAGGTCTCGTCTTAAAGGGGCTATGCCGCCCTGTGCAGGCGGTGGCCCCAACCCTACGCAGACCCTGACAGTGACCCAGACCTAGATCTAAATCTAAACCTAGACCCAGACCTACACCGAGAAGCAGACCTACACCCACACCAAAGTCCAAACCCCGACCTAAACCTAGTCCCAGACCCGGAACTAGACCCAAACCCAGACCCTACCCTGGACCCATCCCAAACCTAGTCCCAGCGCCAAACCCAGACCCTAACGTGGACCCGGACTCAGACCCAGACTGGAACCCACACCCAAACCCAGACCCAAACCTATGCCTAGAGCCAGACCCAGACTCCATCCCAAACCCAGACCCAGACCCAAACCCAAACCCAAATCCAAACCCAGACCCAAACCCAAATCCAAACCCAGACCCTAACCTGGGCTCAGACTCAGACCCAGCCTACACCTAGACCCAAACCCAGACCCAGACCAAAACCCAAACCGGCCTGGTGTGGCAGTGGCAGGGCTGGCTGTGGTGGCATCTCGCACCACGCTCCCTGTTGCAAAACAGCCCTGTCCCCAAGGCGCTGGCCGTGCTGTGATGGCTGCTGGCCTTCCAACATGGCGGTCCTCCATGAGGTGGCAGGAGGGACCAGTGTCCGCAGCCTTGGGAAGTCGCTCGCCCCTCACGCCCTGGCAGCCCCACGGGCCCTGGGCCACCCACCCCACACGGCCCTCACACCTTGCTGCCGTTCAACGTGGCCACCTCGCCTCATGGCTCCTACCCCACCCAGCAAACACCATATACCCACACCCCAGCCTTCGCTTTCTATTAGAGGGAGTGAAGCAGCTGCCTTCCAGGAGGAAGGTGCTGTCCTTTTGCCCCCTCCACCAAACTTCCTTCCTGCCAGCATCTTTCACAAGATTCCCTTGCCCAATACCCCGCTGGACATTGAAATACATCTATAAAGTGTCTCTCCTTTATTGGTGAAAGATGCAAAATCATTCAAAATACAAATAGACGATAAAAGGGGGTCTAGTGGCGAGGGGTCCCCAGTGGCCTCAGCCCTCCAGGAGCTGGTGGAGCGGGGCTGGAGCTCTCCTCACAGTGTCATTAGGACATCTTGGGCTTGTCGTACCAGTGGATGAAGATGGGCGCTGGGCTGCGCCGATCTGGCCGGCAGCGACCCGGGGCCTGCGGCAGCTGCCGGAGCCACCTAGATCCCCCAGTCTGGCCCTGAGCCCCGGCTGCGCAGGAGCTGGCGGAGATAAAGCATCGGCTGGCTGGTGTGGGGGGCTGAGGGCTCACAGGATCTTTCTCCGGGTGCTCTCGGTACAGCGGTTCAGGATGAGGTCTTTGCTGGGACGGGGAGGAACAGCAGGCTGAGCCTTGGGCTTGTTCTCCTCTTGCTCATTTTTCTCAACTGCAGGTGAAGTGGACATACAGATGGGTCAGAGCTCTCCACCACCCCACACCTTCATGTGAACGTTCATGTAATGGTCACCAAAGTTCCTGCCTCTCCTCCTGTCTCAGCTGTGTGTGATGGTCTTCCCCGGAGGTCAGGGTGGTGGGATGAGCCCATCGGTTCCTGGTTGGGAGCTCTGCTTGGGCGGGAGCCCAGCTCTAGGTCTGTGCAAGGAGCTGCTCTCCCTTGGGAAGGTCATGGACCCTGCACAGGGATTACCAGATCTAAAGCGTCTACCTCAACAGCAGCCTCCTTCTTTATGCACCACCTCCCTCTGTGTGCTTTGCTGACAGCTAACATACATGATAATGGTAATGGTAAGAGCAGCAAGGGTGAGGTTAGGTGCACAGAGGAAAGCACAGGTCCTAAATGTGGGCTTACCTTTACCAGGACCTACTGAGGGCAGAAATGCCACCATGTGCTGCTCCTTCTCTGTCAGACCAGAGGTAAGAAACCTCATTGAAAAGAAACACCTCCCTGCACATGCTTTCCCCACAGGAGAAGGGTGGACAGGCAACGTGTGACTTACATGTGTTGTCCTACTGCATCACCTCCCACCTGTGATGGGGCAGAGCCAGAGGCCGTGCTGCCCTGTAGGGACAGCCCAACCTTGGGGCATGAAGTGCAGAGGGTTTGGAGAAAAGAAGACTCGTTTCCTCCTCCCCATCCAGATCTTTCAGCGTGGCACAGGGATTCCCAGGCTTGTTTGCTCGTGCCACAGCTCCAGCAACAGGCATTGGAGGGCATGAGCTGTGCCTGCAGGACTTCAGCCCACATCCAGGGCAAAAGCCCTGTTGAGACTTACTGAGGACTTTGGCCTTGTTCTGCAAGTTTTCCTTCATGTTCCTCTGGCTCTGGATGTACTTCTTGCTGTTCCTTCTGTAGGTCTCCTGGCTGATCAGCTTCCGGCTCTGCTTGTGGATGCTCTTCGCATTTCGGATGGTGGATCTGCAGTGAGTGAGAAACAAAACTTTCAGTTTCCATGCCGGCAGCTCTCACATCATGCACTTTCTCACTGAGGATTTCCCCCCCGTGCTTCCTCTTCTGCCTCACCCAAACCCCAATATCTGCTTTTTGGTTTCACCTGGTGGAAAGCAGCAGGGGGATGCTAGCCCTCGAGGGAAGGCATAGGTGAGACATTGATGTACAGCATGTTAGGAGGCAGCTGGAGTGGTGCTTTGGAAGCAAATACTGAACGGTAAAGCCCGAGCACAAGCCTGGAAAGTAATGATGGGGATGGCAAGGTAGATCAGATGAGATGGGCGTGAGGTTTTCCCCAGAGCTCGAGAAAGCCCTGGAAGTGATCTGTAGCTTTGCTTTTGGATGGATGGACATACACACATGGCATCTATACTGGCTGCAACACTAAGATGCTGGTGTGGGGTTTGGCATGGCTCCTCAACGCCCAAGGCTCAGTCCCTGGGCCAGGGCATGTGTGAGGTACATGTCAGCATGCACCTGTATGTGCGGTGTTGAACCCACAGCAGAGAAACTACTGAGAGAAGTGAAAGGCTGAGCAGCCTGGGGTTGTGTGGCGGCATGTTGCCACAGGGGAACCCCCAGCGTTGGGGACCGTCCCCAGGCAAGCCACCGCTTTGTATTCACTACCAAGGCATAAGCAAGGTGGCTCCTGATGTCCACCCCATGGCATCGTCCTCCTGCTCTGCTCAAGGCAACATGCCCATCTACCTTCAGCCCCTCCCTGGTCTGAGCACCCCATTTCATAGCAAACCTCTTGCCCACAATGGCAGGTCTCCACCTTTGCAACAGGGCTCAGCCTGGCTGCCATCACCAGCACCACAGGGACAGCATTCACCATGGGGGGCAAGTCACTGTCCTTGAAACAGGCCACGTCACCTCCTCCAAGGGTATCAGTAAGCATCACTGCGCTCAAATAGGTGGATTTGGGCCATTTTACACTGTCTCACACTCAATACATGCTCCAGCAGAGCTGGATTTTGAGAGATTTTATAGTAAGGCTGCCGTGTTTTCTTGTAGGGAAGAAAAGATAGAGGCAAGCTCTGCCCTTCCTAGCAGTTTTCTTTGCATTGAAATTAATGAGTTATTATTGCTTTTTATCTTTTTAATCAAAATAAAATCCTTTCCATTAGCTCAAATCCTCCGATCAGATTAGGCCATTTGGCAACTCTGATTAGTCAAATCTCTCCTCAGTTCTCAAAGATTCAGTGGATGCACTTAGGAAATAAGAAAAAGGCCAATTTGAAAATTAGACAAGATCAGCCCAGAAAAGAAACTTTGCAGAAGGACAAGGAGAAATACGCCTGGCTAGAGGACCTGCCAGAGCAAGGATCATGCAGCCCTGCATCAGAAATGCTGGGGTGCCTCTCCACCCTTGGAAGTCGGGGAGCACTGAGCTATTTTTGCTGCAGCCCTGCAGGATCTGCCTCCTGCTCTGTCTTTGCCCTGCTCACGTCTCTCCTGGGAAGTTCCTCGTTGCCAGGGTGAGCAAGGGACACCACAAATCACTGTCTGGTTTCATTTCACCCTCTCAAAGAAGAGCTTTAGTCCTCCTTGCCCCCACCCAGAGCTTCTCCTACCTCCGTGGAGGAGCAATCCGGTTCCTCAGCTCACTCTTCACAGAGGTGTTCGCCTCCCCAGCTTTCTGCAGGTACATGGAGGGGTAATAACCTGTGGTTTCATCCTTCCTGCAGTGCAACACAAAGCAACATCGCTTGCAGCCGTGGCTCTGCAACCACCAGCTCCTCATGCCTGTCCCCAGCTGGTGCTGGCTGGGTTATTTCTCATGTCCTTTGCAGTGAGGGGGGCTTTGACTGTCCTCCCACCCTGTGTGCCTGTGGCTCTCCCTGAAAGTGTGGCTTGAGTCCCAAAAGCAAGTAAGTAGCAGAGAGAGCAATGGCTCACAGCTTTCAGGGTCTTACCAGCTCATATTATCTCCCCTTGGGGTTTCGCTGGGCGCCTGAAGCATTGCTCAGAGCCTCCTGCCAGACACCCTGCTGCTGTGTGCTCAAGAACACTCCCTGGTCCCTGGCCCATCTCCCCCTCCAGCCCAGCACACCTGCAAACACCAGGAGATCCTCCTGGTGCCACTCGCCTGGGCACAGGCTGCGGCAGGAGGATCCCCAGGGTTTGCAGCCATGCCATGTCCTGCTGTGAATGCACAATCTGTGACTCTCCAGAACACAGGTGCAGCTGGGATTCCCCTTGGGAAAGCCTGAGTTTGCAGGGCAGGCCAGGGCTATGATGAAAGCTAAGGTTTCGCAAAGCACAATGTGTCAGAATACTTAAAGGCAAAATATCACATACTGGTTTTTTTCATCTGCCTCCTTCCTGGATATTTCTGAAGCCCCCAGCAGAGGAAGCCCCAGCTGCAACATTTAACATTTGGCAAAGCCACAGGCTACAAGAAGCAGCCCTGCAAAAAGGAAGTGCTGGGCAGCAGCACAAAACGGTCGGTGGCTTTCACTGCCCCAACGTGCAGAACGGCTGGTTCATCCCTTCCCTCTGCCCAAATCCCGCTTGCCTGATTTGTTCTTGGCATCTCTCACCTGATGACCCACCAGCCATCAAGCAGCTTGTGGATGACTTCAATGGTATCACCCTCCTTGAGGGTCAGCTCGTCCTCCTCCATGGCTGTGTAGCTTTTCTGGACAATGTACTGCTCACCTGTGCGCAAAATCAGGACAGTGGGTTGTGTGCTACCACCCCAGGGATGGGGCTCAGCCTCTCCAGCCACTGGGGAGAGGAGGCACCAGGGCATCTACCCTACATTTTAGGCAAGACTCAGGGTGCTTCAGTTCTCCAAGTTTGGATTCAGACTTTTCCTCAGCCTTGTCAGTGCCTGTGGCTCATCCCAGCCCCTCCAGCACCTCTCCAGGAGAAAGCTGGTGAATGCAAGCAGTGGAAGCACACCTATCTCTGCTGAAGACCATGTTTATAATTCAGATGATTAAATGAGGAAGAAGTGTTGTGCTAATAGTCTGTTGCAGTGTTTCGAAAACCACAAAGACGAAGCCTGGAGAGCAATCAGCATGAGTCTGCAGGATCCTCCCTCTGCTCCTGTGCGATAAGGCCCCGCTGTCACAGTGGGGCGATGCGGAGGGCTGATAAGGACAGCACGGAAGCCAAGCGCTAGGGAAAGCCTGTGCCTCGGTTCGGATGCTGCACCATATTCCTTTGCTAACCCAGCAACTTGGTGTTCACCCAGCTAGCTCAGGATGGCCACTGGATGAAGATGTGCCTGTGTGATCAGCCAAAACAAGCATCTACTGCTGAGCTGCAGGTCATGGGAAGCTCCTGAGGTTGACACTGAGGTACCTAACCATGAGATTTATCCCTCCTGGCAGCTCCTCCAGCAATATCTCCCTGCCCAGCGGTCCTGCTCAGTGTGGACTGCCCGACTGGGGCCTTGCAATGAACCATCCCAGCAGGGAGGTGCGGCACACTGGTGCTCTGGTGCACACCTCGGTTACCCCAACATTTTACCTGCGTAGTTGGGCTCCTGCTCTTCAGACTCATCAGGACCATCCATTGGTTCCAGATAGGCAGCTGGCACCCAGCCCCGTTTATTCTTCACCTGGCAAAACCACCATCCTGCAAGGAAAGCAGCCGTGGGCAAGAGCAGAGGGTCTTGCAGGGACACTGTGGGGGCACCAGCACCAGGTCTGTCCCTGGCCGGGGCAGGCACAGGCATCCATGTGGCCCGGATGGAGGGGATGGCACCGGGGTCGGTTTCTGTTTACATGGTGGAACCAAGGAGCTTGGCCAGTTCATCCTGTTTCCTCCTGGGCAGGAAACCTCATAGGCTGAGGCATGCAAAGAGGTTGCATGGTTTTCTAGGATTGCCCCACACCCTCCCCAGCCAAAACCAACTGTCATGTGGCTCCATATGAATGTGAAACATGTCCCAAGAGGGCAGGAAGCACCAAGAGGTTCGGTCCTGCCAGTTGCATTTGCTCCGAGCCTCTCCTCTCCATCAGGAGACCCTGAAATAACCGCCTACCCTTTAACCCATGCACTGGCATAACTAACTTGCATGCTGCATTTGGACATGAGATTGCAAGGGCAGTCCCTGTCCCTGCTGAAATGGTAGCTAGGAGGGGGCTGGCCCTCAGGGGCTCTTCGGAGACATGGACACATACCGCTTTCGCTCTTCTCCACGACATCTACCATGTCCCCAGCTTTTAGAGCCATCTCAGATGTGGAGCTCTTCTCGTAGTCGGCGATGGCTCGGTATGTTTGCAGGACAATGGGGCCCGTGATGTCTGTGTGGGAGAAGTGAGAAACGTTCCCTCTCCCAGTTGCCAGCACAGAAATACCCTATTTCAGGCAAGCCGAAAGCAGCCCCAGGACAGCCCAAAGCACTCTCCCAGCCTCTTCTGGTCTCAAACCAGCTGGATCCCAGAACAAGGACTCATTCCCCCCAAGGCTGTGGTTTCCACCCAGCTGCAGCTCTGGCACAGAGACCGTGCTCTCAGTCACGGCATCTGCCATGGGATGGCTGCCCCTCTCCCTGCCAGGGTTTGCTGCTGCTGAGGCAGCTGCTTGCACCCCTCTGAGGCCTCTTACCGGTGGGGTTTTTCTTGGCATCCTTTGGCAGGAGGAAGACCTCGGGCTTCTTGGTTCTAGGCAGGTCAGAGCAAAGGCAGCTCAATACCAGCCACCCCTCACCGCTGGCAGTGGTGCCCTCCCTGTGGGCTGCTGCCAGCACCCAGGGCCGGGGATGCAGGATTTCCACCAAAATGGCAGGCAGCTGGACTCACTGGCTGTCTGTGACAGGGTTCATGTCATCGTGACGGACCTTGAAGAAGTTGACCACGTGCAGGCATCGGGAGATCTTGTGGGGCAGGTTGACCAGCGTGTAGCAGTACTCAGTCAGGGTGCCCTGCCTGTTCTGCGTCGAGCGCTGCCCGTCAAACCACTTCGGTGCTGGGGGAGAGGGGAAAGCACTCAGAAAAAGCAGAGTGCCCTGTTTTTACAACTTTCCCAAGCAGGCTGCTCTGAATCATTAATTTTTCCCTGAAAACAAGTGGATTTGGCCCCAGGGCGCTGCATGGCTGCATGGTGCCCATAAGGTGAAGCTCTGTGGGAGCATGGCCCTGTCTCCTCCTTTGCTGCTCTGGCCCTGGCATGCACATGGAGGGCGATGCACGGTGCTGAAAAAGCTGGGGAGAAGCTGACTGCGGGGCCACAGCTGCTTTGCAGAAGAGCTACAGCTGCGGGTTCCTCGTTTTGGCAATGCAGCTTGAGAGGTGAGCACGGTGCAGCGCGCAGCCCGGGTGCCATGGGCAGCGCAGAGCAGAGCTCTGTGCAGCTGGACTCATCCCCCTGCAGCCCATGGACCCTTACATAGCTCGTGCAAGCCCAGAAAAGACCCCGTTCAACTCCATTTCACTTACAGGACAACTCCCACATCTGTGCTCAGACTAAGCCCAGCCGCTGGTCTACAAATACAGCAGCTGCACCGGGGCCCAAGGAGGGGCTCGGGACCAGCCTGTGGCTGGGGGAGATGCACCTCTGTCCCACTGGCCATGGTGCATGTCCTGCAGCAGCCGGTCTTGACCCCAGGGCTCCAAAATGCTGCTGGCAGCCCTGACCCACAGCAGTGTTGAACCCCATGTCAGGCTGCATGTGTGCAGCCCATGACACCCCCACCCCCCCTGCAGCAGTCTGACGCCTGCCTCATCCCCCAGTGCTTTCAGTTCCCCAAACGGGACAAGGACACTCTGAAGAGTCCCAGCATGGCAGCGGCAGCACATGGGAAGGGTCCCGGCACAGCCGTGTTAGTCCAACCGACCCTGAGGGGAGCCCCCTCAAGACGTGGCACCCACACTGCTGTGGTGGTGCAGGTTTATTCCTCCTCAAGAGGCATTGACCACAACCCGCAGCTATTTCTCATACTCCTTCCTGCCTCCTCTAAAGCAGGAAATTAAATAAAAGGGGGAATTTTGCTGACCTGCACCTTGCTTGGGGACAAACCGTCAGCTCTTTGGATCAGGAATTCATTCCCTGTCATTGAAGACACATTGCATCACTTCCTCTTACGAAATATCTGTGTTGCCATAAGGTCACTAAAACCAATCCCAGTGATGGTGTCACCAAAGGAGGGCTCAGCCTCCCCAAAGCCAGACCCTTTGCACCAGCTGGGGGTCGCAGCCGATGCTGCAGGACATGTCTTCAGGGTGCCCAGCCTTCAGGGAGGAAGGACGGGGTCTGTGGGGCTGGCGAGTATTGGGAGAAACCACCACCGCTGCTCAGAACATTCTGGGGTTTTGATTTCAAACCCAGTGGGGAACAGAAACGCACCAAGCACCTGCGCAGGAGGCAGCCCACAGAGCTCGGCCCGCTGGGGAATTTCCCGACAAGCTGCAATTTCTATTTCACTCCCCAGGCCCAGCACGTGCTGCTCACCTGGCAAGTGTGGGATGATCCGGTTCTCCACGTTGATGTCCCCAGATTCAATGGGAAACATCTCCTTCAGCGCTTTCTGCGGAGCAGAGCCAGGCACAAGCCGTGAGGATGGCACCGGGATATGCCCCTATAGCACCCGCACCCCTGCCTGCAGCTTGCCCCACTTCCCGGCACTCACCCCACTGCCACTGGCATGTGCCGGCTGGACCCTGTGCCTCGGCACTGGGAGAAATCTGCCAGGGGAGCACAGAGCCGATGGCTCCCCATTTCAAGGGGTGAAGGAGATTGAAGCATTGGGACCCAGGAGCCTCTTTGGAGCCAGGTTTGTTTTGGGGCAATTTCACCTGGAATTTGCCCTCTTATTTTTCCCCACCCAGAGCCCTGGTGTGCTGGGCTGGGAGCCGGTTCTTGCCCCAGGGTGACTCACGTGGAACTCGTATATCTCGGTAAACCTGCGGTAGACAACCTTTTCGGAGAGGTCGTTCCACTTCACCAGGAACATGTAGACCTGAGGGGCAAAGCAAAGGCACTGCAGCTCTGTGGGTGAGCGGGACCCTGCACCCCGCTGTGACCGAAGCCCCCAGGGAGCCCCGCAGGTGTTTCAGTTTTAGATACACTGCGTGTTTTCCTTCCACCACCCCAAAGCGAGTAGCTTTGCGCTAGGCAAAGCCCAAGGCAGCGAGCGAGCTGGGCGCTAGGGCAGCTCACCAGGGATGGCGTGGGGACAGAAACATGCAGACAGGTGGGAATCAAAGAGGGAAAAGCCCTTTCCAAGCCTGCAGAGTAACTGATGGCTTGCAAAGGAGGTGCCCAAAATATTGTGCATTCAGGACGTTTTAGCCTCTGGCTGCCTCAAGCTCATGCCATCAGCCACCACTCCACCCTCCCCCAAAAAAAGGATGCTCTTAGGCCCTCGGCCACATTTGTCTAAAAAAATTTGCTGGCCGGGTTTTTACCCTGGCTGGTCTTCACTACTCAGCTTGTTGGAAGGTCGCTGTATACTCACATAGTGCTGGCTGGGGAAAAACCTTTTCTCGTAGCCCAGCAGCTCGATGTGCCGGATGAAGACATCCCCCATAGCTGCTCCTAGCCACGGCGTCCCACTCCGGCCCCTGCTCCTGCCTCTCCAGGCGTCTCAGCGTCCTCCCCTCTCCTCTGCCTTCACACAGCTCTGCTCCGCTGTTAAAGCCCGCGGGAAAGCGGAAGCCCTGCTGCAATCACACCCATAATTGTTCACCCGCTGTGGTTTGTATTGAGTCGGTGTTTCCCGTGGGGAGTCTCCAGCCCAGCCCCTCCAGTGGCTCCAGGGCTGGGAAGGAGGAGGTCAGCAGGGACGCCCCGGGGGTGCCCTGGAGGCACCTCTCAAATCAGAGGACAGTGAAGGGCCAGGGCCAGGGCAGCTGCCCCGTTAGCCAAGTGGCCCCTCTGACTGCTGGCGCTGCCCTGTGATGGCAGAGGGTGCTGCAGCACCCATTTCGCAGAGGGTTGAGGACGGACAAGTGCCTTGGCAATGGCGACCAGAGGAGTCTTCGCCCTCTCGAGCCGAGCTGGATGGGCTGAATGAAGTATGTAATGTGCTCCCTGAGCCCAGGGACAGCAGCACCGTTGTCTGTACGGCTGGGAGACTGTCCTGTGCTCCCAGGGCAGGCAGGGAAGCTGAGGGCACAGCGCAGGCAGGATGGGGCAGCCGCAGGCTGCGCACACAAGAGGTCCTGCCCTTGCATCGTCATTTCCTGACAGTCACCTGTGGCTTCCCCAAAATCTGCCACCAAAAAGCTCCCTTGAGCAGCGTCTGAGGACCTGAGCCGGCCCCAGCACCGCAGCTCCGCTCGCTGCCTTACCCGGGCGCAGGGCCGCGTGGGAGCATCGGCCACGGGGGACCCCAGGCGTGGGGAAACCCCAGGGTGGGCTGGAGATGGACCTCTGCCTCCCACTGGGAGAGCACGAGGGTCCCTTGCAAAGCCCCTCTAAAATGGCAGCGCACCAGCATCCTCCTCCTCCTCCGCCCCCAGCTCCGAGCAGAAAGGCCTGGAGGGACACAAAGGCTGCAGGTTATCAACCTCACTGCTCGCAGGCAAAGGTGCACCCTGGCATACTTTTGTCCCCAGCAAGGGCACCCTCGATTACAACGGGTGCCAGTGCTGGGCTGTCCCGACAGAGCCGGGACCCGCTCTCCACGGGATGCTCGGCAGGAGCCCAGCTCCAGCCGGCCGCCTGGACGCGAGCCCTCGGCCCCATCCCTGACTCCCTCCGCTACCTCTCCTCTGGCAGCCCGTGCTCGGGTGCAGCTCGTGTCCCCGGCAGGCCAACACCTTACCGCAAGCTGGTCGCCAAAGCAAGCCCAGACCCACACTCAACCGGGAGTGGAGATGTCTTGGTCAGCGAGGCAGCACCCGTGTCCCTGTTCCTGGCAGGCAGTAGCCCCAAACCACGAGTGGAGCTAACACGGGCTCTCCCCACTGATCAGCAGCAGCAAACCATGGCACAGGGAAAGCCCCTGATGCCCTTATTAGCTGTACAGACAAAAGCTTGCTCTGGCTGCATTAAAAAAATCAAATACTAAGCTTAGCTTTCCCCTGAATCTCAAGTATGGTACTTTGCAGCTGTTGAGATCAGAAACACGGTCATTTAAATTTGGTTTCGTACTATTTTAACATGGGGACTTCCCTGTATGCAAGGCAAAATTATACAACCACTAATATTAAAAAAAGATACCTCCAGGACTGTCTGGATTCTGCTCTGTTAATAGCCAGATTGCTGCTTCTTGTGCAGAATCACCACAAACTTCGTCATGAAAGCTGATTTCATAATTACAATTGTTTGTACCAAGTTTAAAACTGCTTTACAGACAGTACATTACTGGAAACCACTTTCTTCCTGTTTACTCCCTCCACATCTTGTGATGTGAGAAATGAAGTGGACCTTGTAGATCTCACTGCTGGCGATGGGTTAGTGCACAGCGAGATGCAACCTGTAACTCAGTATATACACCGCTTAGTGTTTCTACCAACTGCCCACCTGACATATAATGACCCACCTGACAAACAAGCTGCATTTATGGAGTTTATGAGCTGATTCATGCTTTGGGAAAGAAACAAGGCTGGCATCTGAATGCAGGACCTGATCTTTGAGAGAGATGGAGAACTCCCACTGGCCTCCAGACCGAGTTGGTAGCAGTGCTTTGCAGCAATGCACCACTGCTTTGGAGTGGGAACAGCAGATACGGGACTTAAGGTGACAGATTTCAATCAGGGTTATTGAAGAGAAATCGCTGGAGGTTGACAGTTTCCTAGGCAAATGGACTATTCTCTTTTCTGTAGCGCTCCAGCCAAAACTAGTACCAAAGCCTCTTAGAAATTAAAAGCTGAAGAAAGGAATGCCACCCTAACTCTGTTCAAAATGTAATTTTTTTTTTTTTTTTTTTAGTTTAAATTTAATTCAATCCAGAGCCAAGGGAGGCCTTGCTTATGTCACTGATGGCAAACTGCTGTGTGTGAACAGTACCATGTGCTCTAACAGCTGTTGCAAAGTCACAAAAATGAAAGTCTGCCATCTTTCCTTGCAGAATGTTGCTGATAGGACAGATACGAAAAGAAACAAAAGAGAAAGGCTTCAAGTTTTGTATGTGGAAAACTTCAAATCCCAAGGGAAAAACACTGGACAGCAGCTCCACCACGGAGGTGCTGGACCTCATCTGACATCTAGTGGTTACAGCTGCAGGAAAAGCTGGGGTGCTGGACCCGAGGAACACCAGGCTCCACGACGGACACCCTGGATCCTATGCTACCCGGATCCAAAAATCCCTATTTTAGAGACAGGAGCCAGCCCAAGGCACAGGATGGGCTTTTAAAGTTCAGTAAAACATGGGGAATAAATACTTGTCTGCTACTTCATCACCACAAAACTTCTCTGCTGGAACAAAAAATATTCAGAGCTCTGGTAAGTTGTTGCAATTTTATTTATTTACTTGTTTATTAGTACAGCCAAGGTTTTTTAGGGCATTATCACTCAATAACCAAAGAGTGACACACCTCATGTAGTATTAGCTTGGAAATGAGTGAGATTTTCACACATGGTCAACATCTTAAAAGTCTGCTACCTGTTAGGACTATTGTATATAGAGAGATAGATACTTCTTTAATATAAAATGGATATTTGGAAGGTATAAATATTGGTGCAATTATTTTGTCAGTCTAATATCTCTCTACTGGATATAACTCAAAATGTCCGAGACCAAAAAGACACTTCAGTGTTGAATGCCGATGCACCCAGCAGCATTACCGTAAGCCCAGCAGCGGGACGGAACCAAGGCACACCACCCCCCTGACTCCCAGCATCACGGAAGGACTCCAGTCCTTCCAGTAAGAACCACTGCATCGGTTTTCACTTCTTTTTTTTTTTTTCAGCTCCTGCACATGAAGTTGCAGGATGTCCACACTCTGCTGTTATATACTTGACAAGGCAGTAGGCTGGAATTACTTATTTTCACAGTTCCTTTGCTATGATGCCTTGCCCTCATTTTGAGGGAGCACTAACAATTCCATCAGCAATATATAGCCTTGCTGGGCAGGCGGCTGTGCAGTAAGTGCCTCCTAAAGATAGCTTCGAGTGAAGAAGGGATGGCCCGTCCTTCCGCTTTTTCAAAAGGGGAAGTTGAGAGCCAGCTAAAAACCCAGGGAAAGCTGCATTAACTCATTTCCTCATTCTAAACATTTGTAGCAGCAATCGCGGAACTGGCCATCGCCCTGATAACAACCTGTTTATGGAGGTACATTAACTGAGCATGTCTATTAAAGCAATGAGCAGTGAAATACATCAGTGGTTATGATTTGGGATAGCACCCATACAGCTGAGAGTCAACAGGTAAATTAAGTCAATGGGCTCATTCCCATGGGACTGAGATAGCAGCTGTTTGCCGAGACAGGAAGGCAGCACTGCATCGGTCACCACCGGTTCCCATCTGGAGAGCTGGAAAGTACAATGGGGATGAGCATTTTCAAAATGACTCAGCATGGGGCTAACCCTGCTCCTACTGACATCAACAGCACAAGGTCTGAGTATTTAAGTGGGAGCACCTAGATCTGCACAGAGCAATTGTGAAAATGTTAAGCACGCATCCTACAGCTCTCCCTTGCCTCCAGAATGACAGAGCGTGTGCTGCTCTGAAATTCATCTGCTGAATTTCAGGTTGGTCCCAGGGAACAGACACTGTATCTAACTGAATTTAAGGCTTCAGAATTTTCCTTGAAGATACAACAACCTCACCCACCCAGAGCTGGATTTCTGTCTGAAAGGCATGACTGGAGCTTACTTCCTTTGCGGGAATGAGTAACTAAGCTACAGCATGTTCGACCTGCCTACAGAATTACTGCTGTAACTTGATTTGTTGTAAAATATGTAAACGTATACTGCATGGACAGTCATGAAAACCATCAGAAGGTCTTTATTTCTTAATCAGGGAATAAGGTTTACCATTTGTGCATAACGCAGTCATCCCAAACCCATGCCAATAAAAGAGAAACCTTTACAATAATCTGCATCTTCTCTATAGAGATTATCATATACCCAGAATTTTACATCTCTTATGGTTTGTGAAACTTAAAAAAAATGTGCACGAGTCTTTTACATGATGTGGGGTGTAACCAGGACTATAGGGGACTTAACTTTTGACATAGTAGGACTTACAGCAGCTTGTAGCGTATGTTTCCATAACTAGTTCTAGATGAACAGAAGGGCATCTCCCACAGCCTTCAGGAGAAAAGCTCTCACTCAGGTCCATGCGAGTTTTGCCTACGTTAGGACTGCAAGGCCAGACCCATCATACATAAACCATGTGATATTCTGATAAAGCATGCACTTACTACTTTGAATTAATGGAACAAACTTTAACAGGGTTTAATTTAAATTGGTTCCTAATCCACACACTGAAATACTGACCATTTCACAGTCCATCTCATTAATGCGTACTAACGGTCAAGTGAACCAGTTTATCTTTTATTTATGAAAAACATATGAATTGTGATAGATATCATAGGAAAAATTAGTTCAAATATACAGATACTATTGTCCAATCAGCCATTAAAGGAGTAAGAACCAAAAAGCAATGTTTTTGTTTTTTTCCTCCCCCAAAGTAAAACTAACAAACTGAACTACTTGCAGGAATTCTTCTTCATTACAAAAGCTGAGATGCATTCAGGTACGGTGAAATTCAGCTTCACTGGGAAATGTAGACAGCCTCTGTTAAGTCCCTGTTGATTTTAATCCCTGTCATCTCCCGAGCATTGCTGCATCGAATTTTAGTCCTTATAATATATTCCAAAGTAAAACCAGCCATTCCAAATCTACAGTCATTCTTTGCTTTAAGTCAATTCACAGAACTGCTGAAAAAGTAGACATTTCTATCTAAAAGTACAAAAAGGGTTTGTATAGAAGGTACTTCTCTTATACAGTTATATTACACAGCTCAAGACAGTCCCAGCAGGCTCTTCTCAGAACTGGATGCTTCTGACTAGAGAATAAAAATTACAAAAGTGAGTTAGTTTCATCGCAGCTCTGTATTTTATTACAAATATGAGTAGTTTGCGTTGCCTTTTCATGTTCTTTAGGCCTAGATTCAGAGAGCATGCAGAAGCCGAATATTACTCTCAATAAATATTAGATTAAATCTGTGCTTGAGTGATCTCTCTAAGAATTTAGATCAAGTATTTGCTTTAGTATAAATTCAGTGGATGGCCTATAGCATCCAAAAATCTGAACCACTGCAGCACCAAGTTGTGCGGCCATTGCTCAGGCAAAATTTCCGTGACCTTTAATGGACAAGTAAGATGGCTTTTTATATCTCCACTGGGTGAAGTGCTTCCCACAACAAATCAAAATGTTTTCTTTAGCATATTTTCTCCTGCCGTGTTCAGTTTTATGACAAATATTTCCAAAGCAGCCTTCACCAATTTATTAGGAAGACTACTGCTGTACTTAAAATTCTTAGGGCACAGACAGTTGGTATGCTGGTATGTCAGTCTCTGCCAGTTTCTACCAAATCATTTCTGCATTTGTCCCTTCAGTCCCTCATCCCAATGCCATCAGCAGCCTGACACGTACCAGGCTGTGTTTATGCGGAACGGATGGAGGGCTATGGCCAAGCCTGTCCTTCTCTCCAAAAAGCTGGATGGTGCCAGGAGTGAAACCCGCAGGCTTCAGGCTCCTGCAGCCACTGCTTCATGTGAGGGTCAAATGGTATTATCCCTCTCAGCCACTCAGGCCAGCAGAAATGAAGAACCAGAGCTTGGTTTTGCTGGTTGCCTGTCTGTGCCCTCAGAACAGGAATAGTACACAGACTTCTTCTCTGAGCTGAATACCACGTCTTTTTCTTACTAAAGCTAGACAGGTTACAGCTCAAATATACTAAATAAATGCATCCGACATTACATCAATCAAATCTCTAAAGTAGCAAACACTACAAACACTACACAATGAAGAAAATATTTGGTTTAGAGTATTATCAAAAAAAACGAAATGGGAAGAACTACTACAGAGCTGTGATAGCTTAAAATTGCCATTTTCTCTGAATGAAGCATAGAGACTCACAGCTGTGTGGGTCAGCCTTTTACAGTTGGAGACACGATAGCATCATTAGCACTGTTCACCTCCACCAAAACGTTTTGCATTGTAAATTAAACTAAGCTTTTCATAAAAGTTAACAGAAAATAAAAAAAAAACTTTTAAAGAAAGTTCGTTCGTCATCACAGCTAACAGCTTTACCAAGTGTCCCAAGCTTAGACAATATTGCAATCATATTGAAGTGCTTTCCTGCTCAATTACAATTTGGAACTCTATAGGCTTTACCAAGAATAATAATGCTCCTTCACACAACCATGTCAGAGCTCTTCGTAAACACTAATTCCCTAAGCTTTCAGTTACTCTGTCTCTGAGGTATGTAATTACCATCACCCATTTTTATTTATAGGCCACATTTTCCTAGGACTGACTGCCTCACATATTTGAACACAATGTGCTTTACGTTGTATTTGGATAAGGTATTGAAAACATCCTACATTTTATAGGTGAGAAATGAGACAAATAAAATAATTCACAAGGACTGGCACCTTCTGGCATTCAGTCCTGTATCTCAACCCTCTTCTCGCCACCCAAAAATATAAAAATATTATTCCCCACCCAAAAATATAAAAAAATTATTCCTTGACAGGTGTTGACTTCAGGAAATGCTAAATTCTTTTACCCAGTACTGAAGAGGTCTACCACGTTGGGTCCGGTTCCTGCTTTATTTGAGAATTTTCTTCTTTTTCTGTAATATCTGTTGAAAAAGCAGTAATGAATGAAGAAAAAAGGGAACTTCCCAAACAATTTCGTTGTTATTGTTGTACTTAATAAGAAAAGAATTACAAAAATATGAAAAGCATTAATTTATCCTTTTAAACTAGTAACAGCAAATAAAAACATATTCACAACAATCTGATTCTGTGGAAATTACCATATTCACTTCAATGTAAAGCAGCCTGGGATCTTAAGAGAACTCTGGTTTTTAAAGAACAGAAACAAAAATTGGTATTAGAAGTGTATGAAACTGAAAAATGTTTTCTATGTGGCTGAAATACTCACTGGGCCGGAAAGGTACTTAATCCAAAACGGAAACAACACATAATCAGTGAAAAAATGTCACGATGTATTACTGTTTTGGTCTGCATCCTGCTCTTCAGTCTCTCTCCCTCCTCTTTGTTAATCCCCAGCACCATTCCTTCCTTCAACCACCTCATTGGATATGCGATGCTGGGTGAAGCTTTTCACTCATAGCTAAGTCTGTAGCTCATGACTTCAAAAACATCAGGCATGACCACAATTTTTAAGATGGTGTTTTCCAAAGCTAGCTAACAACATCTGAACCTCCTTGTGCTCAAGTCATGCCTTCTGGGTTAGTTATTAAATTAATATTCATTGCACAAACTCTTGTTTTCACAGCACTGACAATTTTTCAGATTTTTTCGCCGTCTCTTTTCAACTAGATACAGACTTCTGCATTATTGTATTTCAATCTAGCTAATTCTCCTTCAATGCACAGTATCACATAGGAAGGCACTATGATATGCTTAAAATAAAGAGAGAAAGAAATCTTATCTTGTGGGCTAAAGCATTCATCATCTTTTGATACAACTTTTTTCATTTCCAGGCGACTTCATTACAAAATCTTTGCTTTTTCTTGTTCACAGGGATGCTTGGAGGTAAATCAAAGAAATCTCGTGCCTGTATAGCACTGCTTATATGACCCAGAGCCTGATTTTGTTCTTCTTATAAACAGAGAACATGATGTTGGAAGGAAACTGGGTTTTCACTGAAGTTGTTTGGAAGGTTTGCGGCTAGGGTAATTCATCACTATAAAGCCAAGCCATTTCACCACATGATCATTCTGTACCTTCCAGCGTAGTTCTGAAGTGATTTTGAGTTCTTTAGCAATTGCATGCCTTTCCTCAAGATCATTCCTCTGGTTACTGGGTCTGAATCCAGTTTTGGACATCAAATTCAAAAACACACTTTATTTCTTCAAAACCATCACTTTGAAGGCTCATAGCTAGATTTCCTCTACATGAAGGTATTCAGGAACAACTGTCTCTCCCCTTCACCATTTAACAATTCCCATTTAGTTAATCCCATATAGTTTTGGCATTATAAAGACATCCGATGTTCCAGCTTTCAATAACTGTGAGCTTAAAATCTGCAGCTCAGCTCTTCTGTGACTCTAACACTTGCCTTTTTTTTGTCTTGATTGCTGATTGATCTACGCTCCGAGAAAAACCTACTCCTAACACTGGGAGTGAACCTGTCACTGAGCTTGTAACAGTAGTTCTGGCTGAGCATGTTGGCTTGTCTCAAAGTTCAGTGACATGACAGGGAACCTGAAGCAATGGAGACTGACTGCAAAGGGCACTTCCACGGCAAAGGATACAGAAGAATGGGAGTGCTGAGATTTGCTGCTTTCTCTTTTGGGGGAACCTAAGCAGGATTAAGGAATGAACTCGAGAGTTTTAAGATGACAAGTGCTGATGCACAGCAGCCTCCATCCCAGCACTGTTAGCTCCGTTGCTGTCAAGCTGCTACTGACACACCGGAGAGCCCCTTTGAGGACTACCTGGCACAAAGACAGCACCCCATCAAACTGTCACAGCACCTTGGATCCCCTATGCTGGCCACACCAGAGGCAGCCACAGCCGTCCAGGGCCATGCTGACAAGCTGGGGCTATAGCAGAGGCAGCGTTTACAGCATCAGAGCACACAGCAGACAGCAGCATCCCGATTCACAGGTCAATTCACTATTCCTAATGCTCCAAGACCATATGCAAAAGCACAGGGGGTGTAGAAGATCTACAGCCTCCTTGGTCTCACATATATCAACATCTGAAAAAGATACAATTCAGGTATACTCTTGGACAATAGGAAAGTTGGATGTTTTTCAGGGCTTAAGTTCTGGAAGAACAACAACACTCCCCCTCCCCAACACAGTATATTCAGGCCAATATGGCATTCAAATTTCCTGATGACGGCAATCATTCACTTGCATAAATTGTGGAAACTACGGCGCTGAATAACTAGATGCATCGCTCAGGATATGAGCAATCACTCAAAGCCTATATATAGTCATGACTCACCAACGAAGAACAACAATTCATAGAACTCCTTTGTAGAATTATTTGAATAATAGCTTTTGCTGCAGAGTATTTTTCACATGATGCAGCGTGATATTAGTACAGATGAAAAAATGTCCTGGGAACCAATAAAAGCCCTTTTTTTATTAACCTGTCTCCTTTAAAAAAAGATGCAACTTTGTTCAAAATTATTTAAAAATACTTGTTGGTAATAACTGAAGACAAACGCTTACCTCCTACAGATACTTCTATTTTGCTTGGTTCAGCTGACTCTTAAATGAAAAAAAAATAGTCAAATGAATATGAATATAGTTTCAACAATATTAATCAGGTAAGTATCTTAGAAAAATTAGGGAAATTAATTTTTCCGTGAAAAAGAGCACCTCAATTTTTTCTCTTATGATCAGACTCAAATATCTTTTGAGATGAACGTGTGTAACTTTCTATAGAGTCTGCAGCAAAATATAAAAAAATACCCAAACATTTATTACATTACACTACCTAACATTTTCTCTTCCAAGTATGGTTCGCTGCGACAGATATATCACCAAGTCCTAGCAGAACATAATATGGACTTGCACAGAACATACCAAGTTTGGAACAGCTTTACTCAAACTGGTTAAATATAAAACTGTATTAAAAAAAAGCCATCATTTCTGGATAGTATTGTCTTCAGTGGAAAATATGTGTATTTTGGGGAAGAGTGTGAAGGTGCAGAATAGAGGGCAAAAAGTGTGTTTTAATTCCATAATGATTTTTCTATTATCTGTGTTGATGGATTATAGATGGACAGGTGCTAGGAAAGCCATTTAACCTTTTTAACACTGCGGGTGAGTTAAGGACAGATAGACTACAGCAAGTTCACTGCCCATCAGCAGCTATTTTCCTCCCTCCCACCACCTCAAAATGTAAACAAAGGAGCCAGTAGTTTCCTTTATAATTACTTCCACCATACAAGTGTCCCTTACTCTTAAAATGTTTATCGAATGTCTTCTCTTAGTTTCCCAGTTTCTTTGAGTAACAGTTTATTCAGTCAATTGCAAAAGTCTTTCCTGCACTACATCAACTTGGGATACACATTTTTAAAGGTCTGCAAACATTTAGAAACTACACTGGGTCAAAAGGAAGTTGCTCAACTACATTTACTTTACCTATTTATAGCATAAAGCTAAGTTCTCCATTCAGACTAAGATAGGTGATGATGTGTGTGCAGTCTAGACACAGTCTAGCAGGGCTTACAGAACCGTGCAGTGGGCAAAATTCCATCAAGACCCCATTCTAGGTTCTTACGTGTTACACAGGCAAATTTCACTTGGCTGAACACCCATCTGGTACAGACACCCACACACTTTGAGTTAAGCAGGCATCAGTAAATGGATACTGAATTGGCTTTATATATTGCCCCTACTAATCCTTCTTTTCAGCTCACTCATCATCTGCAAAAATCAAATCAAGGAACACGCCAATGACACAGCTTGAAGGAAGCAATGGCTCTTTCTATTAATTTATTAATGTTTAATAGCTATAAAAGTCACCGTTGCACACCATCTGTCAAAATAAAATGGCTCATCATGAGCAGCATGTACCCAGGACATGACTACTAATATCATCTGCCAATAAGATTAGGAACTCCATACTCTACCCCTCCTGCAAGGATATGCATCATGCTCTGCATCACCTGGTAGTACTGGTGCTGCTGCTGGTGCTGTTGGTGGTGCTTCTGCTTCAGCTTTTTCCATCAGCTCTAAGATTAGACATGATCACTGTTTAACTTCACAATGAAAATGGTCCACATGTAACACAAGGGCAATCTTACTTCTTGAATCTGCAAATCCTGAAACTTGTCGCATGAACAGGTTACTAACACTTGTGATTGAGCTGTAGTTCAGTATTTTTTGTTACAGAAAAACCACTCCTTATCTTGCCTGCAAGCACCAAAAATTTCCTTTTAAGTTCCCATGTATTCTTCATAAGAAGAATAAAGCATCATACGTATACGCAGTAGGCTCAGAGCCTTTCAGTCATTCACCTTGGTATTTATCAATATCAGATAATTTTGATCATAATTAATGGACATGGATAATGCACAAACCCCACATGTTCAATGAGCAATCTGCTCCTCCAGTGATGGAAGATCATCGGATATCTGTGTTGTTCTTACTCAGCATATTAGAGCTAGCCTCAGTCCCAACACATGCTGACTGCTATGCTGAATAGATAACAGTTTAATAGATTCTTTCATTTCTAATTCAGTTCTCTGGAAATGCTATTACACACTTATCTGCCTGGAAGGTTCCCTCTTACAAAGAGATCTCTTTCCCACCTAAGAAGGTGTGCCTAGGCCTGGTGAGTGGGTCAGTGTGAGTTACTAGCTATAATATCTTCCTGAGAAGACTTCATACTTGCAGTTCATAGACCTCGGCATGTTAACTGGAACATACTGGTGGCTGGATGCAAATGAACGAACACTGGGTCGCTCAGGCTCAGACTCGGTAAGGCCAAATTAATGACAGTAGGTTATTTGGCCTCTGAATTTCTAATCTGACATTGGCTCAGAAAGAACATGACACAAGGGACACTGTAACAACAGAGTTTTGCAGTTTGTTTTTTCTTAAATGAGATCTAAAAAGCAGGTCACAATTATTTTAGGCAGCTGAAAATACTAAAGAGACCTTTTTTCCCCTCCCCAAACGATTTCATTAACACGGCCAAATTGGCCATGGAACTACAGGTAATTACACTCTGCCTCTCTAAACTGTTATAGTTTCAGCAGAATGCAGAATTTTTCACTGGAATATGGTTGTGCAGCTACTGGAAAGTTCTTGCTTATTTACTGCTACTGCGATGGATCCGAACCTAAAATGTAGGCACTCCCATGTAAGTCTGTTGCTCAGTCAGGGTCCTAAATCTCTTTGGGACTCTGCAGCTGAAAAATACAAAATCAGTATCTTGCATTTTCATATCAAAGTTAATGCTAATCTTATACTGTACTGTAAATTTATCACACTGCTCAAGTTAATTGCACATGCATGTTTAGTCAGGAAATCTTCATGAGACAGACACATACAAGAGTTATACATGGAACTTAACCACTGTGGAGCCTCTGCCACTAAGCCAATACATAGAAAACAGATCTTGGTAAGTTACAAAAATACATTTGCCATCAGTATCTCAAAAATACTTACGATTGTTAATCACAAGTCCTGGAAATGGTCTGGAAAAAAAAATAATTACCGATTCTAAAATATACTGCACAGGGTCTCCCTCCCAAGGCAACCTCACTTAACCTTCTGTAAAAGAGGTCATACTAAAAAATGAACAGAAAGTCGAACAAAACTGAAGCAACCATCATAGCAGCTCTTTGGCACCGTATTTTGTTCACTAGCATTTTGAAAAGTAACATACACAGAGAGATCTAAATCCTTCCCTCAGTCACCACTAATTAACAACGGAGTCACTTCTTCAGAGCTCAATTAAACAAAATGTATCAAGCAAGAGTCCTTTCAGTGATTAAGGGTTGAGAATTCTGACCCCTTAGTAAAATACGTTTAAGAAATTTCTCTCTCTCTCTCTAAAGATAAACCGAAGCTTTTAGACTCCTGTGGAGCAGTCTATGATTTGAGAAGTTACATAAACTTATACATTTTTATTTTAAATTCCTGAACTCCTTAGTATGATTCCTAAGTTTCATCTATTCTGCTTCATGCATACAAATATACTTTGTATATACATGTGTGTATATATGTCTATGGAAATACACACATACAAATAAAATTCACTTATATTGTAATTGGACAATATTATATTTTCAAATATTGTAGATAAACTCATTTTTAGGGAAAAAAACATTTATCAAAGAGCTTACCTTAACTCAGTGTTCTTAACACAAGTCAAATATTTAAAAAATATTAATAGTAATACTACTACAAACATACTATTTACTGTTAAGAGCCAACAAGCTCTGGACTTGTCTCAAAACTTCATCTTATAAATGGGAGAGCAAGGCTCACAAGACATTAAGACTCTTATATAATATGAAGAGATTTCAACTCAAAAGACAGCTTGCTGTAATATGCAGTATTGATAATATGCCCTTTGTCATACTAAATTGGTCGTGTCCCCCAAAGAGTTACCATCTTCATTCATGCTATGAACATCTGGCCTTCATTTGACCTGAAATATTGTTATCCAAAAGAGCCAACATCTTCCACTACTTAAAGGTGTACTGCAAGTTCTATTCTTTCAAATCTCAATTTATACAAGTTACAGGGCTGTCCTTGCAACATCTGTACAATCTAATCAATGGCAACTACATACCGAATGACAGTAAATTTGATAAACTCTGCCGATTCCAAAATCTTCCTCATCGAACTGATTTCCAGATAACTGGGAGCTTTAAATGCCACACCAGGAGGCATCCCATCCACCACCACACAGCCAGGGTTGATAGTGATTTTTCTGTATGGGACTTTCACAGGAAAATTCATACCAATGGCTTCACCTAGGTGAGAGAGATCATGTTTATTTTCAAGTCTACATGTTTATGATTACATTGAAGAAAAAAGTCCTCAGACAATTAAGAAGGTAAATGCAAACCCAAGCTTTCTATCAGACCTGAAACTATGAAAATTCACTTGACAATGAAACCATTACAGTGTTAGAAATAGATGTTTTGGATTACACTCATGAACATTACTATGAGAGCGTTAGTTACAACTCCAACCCTGACAGCTCACCATATAAAGAACCCAGATTCTGTTTTTACTAAAAAAAGGTATATCCAAGGAAATAGCTACATGAAGGAAAACAAAGTGTTTCCTGCAATACCACAAAAAGCAATTCAACACAGCACTAGTGAAGGAATTTGAGATAAAGAAACTCAGGTCATTTTTGCTGTGCAATGCAAATACAAAGTAAAAAAAAGAAATCACACACAGCAAAAGGTTAAGTTGCATTTTTAAAATTACTGTAGTCCCAGGTATTAAGAAGTCAGGATTATGAAGCCCTAAGAAGAATCATGGATTGCCAGAAAAATAAATATTTCATCCATGTTTACACAGAAAGAAACAGGAAGGACGGGGGAACATAAAGCAATTTATACTCTTAGGATTTTTTATTTAAAATGTCAAACAACCTACATCACTTATAAAAGATTATTTTTGAAGTCAAAGCACAACATTCATATACAATTCTCAAATTTGATCATTTTAATGATCATATATATCATCCACTGTGATGATTCAGTAACTTCATGTCCTGGTTTCAGCTGGGATAGATTTAATTTTCTTTCTAGTAGCTGGTGTAGTGTTATGTTTTGGGTTCAGTATGAGAAGAATGTTGATAACACACTGATGTTTTCAGTTGTTGCCAAGTAGTGTTTAGACCAAGTCAAGGATTTTTCAGCTTCTCATGCCCAGCCAGCAAGAAGGCTGGAGGGGCACAAGAAGTTGGGAGGGGACACAGCCAGGACAGCTGACCCAAACTGGCCAAAGGGGTATTCCATACCATGGGACGTCATGCCTGGTATATAAACTGGGGAGAGTTGGCCTGGAGGGGCCAGGGGTGGCTCAGGAACTAATTGGGCACTGGTTAGCAGGTGGGGAGCAATTGCATCATGCATCACTTGTTTTCTATATTCCAATCCTTTTATTATTATTATTGTCATTCTATTATTATTATTATATTTCTTTTCTGTCATACTAAACTGTCTTTATCTCAACCCACGAGTTTTACTTTTTTTCGATTCTCTCCCCCATCCCACTGGGTGCGGGGGGAGTGAGTGAGCGGCTCAGGCTGGGGTTAAAAAAATGACCCTTCAATATGAACAACATTAATTGCATTCACACCTATGTAAAAATGGGGAGTAAGAAGCAATTACCAAATTTCCGGCTAAAAAGATCATTTACTTGCTCTCTCAATTGTCTGGCCTTTTCTACTTTTGACAGGCGCTCACTTTCATCATCTGGAAGAAATTGTTAGAATAGCATTAGAATTACCCAGATTCCCCCCCCCCCCCGAAGCTTGTTTGTCATTGCACGTTTACTCAAAGCAGGTATACCTGAGTGCTTCAAAACAGGCACTGTCATTGTTCCTAGTTTTAGCAGTGACACAGAATTGTAGAAATACGCAAAAATAGATGATTGTTAAAAAAAAATCTGTGAGAAGCTTCAGAGTATTTATATAACCAACATTAGATCTACTGTCTAGAGATGATTTTGTAAACTTAATCTAAAACCACAAATTATATTTTATTTTCTTACAGTACATACAATGGTGGGGAAAGGTAAAAGTAAAGTGACCATTCAATAGATGGCCACAGCACGCAGCGTTCCTCATGGTTTCTAATGAATGTAATACATGCCTGAGAAAATAGTAATCAGTGTTAATACAAAGCAGTTCAGTGTATATGGTTATTCAATTCAGTCTGAGTACTGATCTCCTGAAGTTGCCAAGAAAATTGCAAATCAATATTTAATTTATTGCATGAGAAAAAAGGGAAAAATGTGGATACTCCTTAACTAGGAACTGGACCAAGAATATTCTAGAGATTTCACTGAATAGATGTTCATGAGTGTTAGAAAATATTTAACGTCTCAGCAAAAAGAGAATGCTAAATTATACTCTTTGTTGACTGTACTTGTATTTCACTGAACCAGCTGGACTGTAGGAAAAAACTTCATCAGACTAAACAAGTGTCATGAAGAATATAAGCACAAAAAGTATGATGTGAAACCAGACAGTATACACACCTGGTATAGTTACTTGAATGATGTTAAGATCTTCAACACCTGCAGCTGTGTTCACCAGTGTGTTTGTTGTGGTGCTTGCTGTATTGGCTATATTAGATGAATTATTTTTTCCTAAAAGTAAGAGAATTCATTTAAAAAACTTTTGTAGAAAGCTCAAAATCTTGAATGTCATATATAGAGAAAATATTGCAAAATAACAGATATATGCGAAGTTTTCAAAGCAGATCCAGTTCCATTTTCAAAATGGGAGCAGCTGCCAACGAGACATACTTATTGAAGGTACACACCACTGTCTTTCCAACCCAAGAGGAGAAAGAGCTAGAATAAAGATAATGTTAATCTTTACTAGTTCGTTTTCTAAAAAGATTATTAAGAAAAGGAAAAAAAAAAGAGTATATGGAGCATGTATTTTGGTATTTTTATTAGCAGAAAAATCATAGCCCTTGGAGTTAATTCAGTAACACCTACTGATCCATGGGTTCACTGTGTGCATTCACAAAAGAAATCCCTTACAGCTATATTTGTGAGTCACACTGTCCAGTGGCACAAACTAGCATAGTTCAAGTAACTCCGCAGAGTTTTGCCAACCCATAGTAACAGATAATAATACGACTCAAAACATTTAATCCGTGACCTGCCTGACACAATTTTCTACTGGCTATCTGCACTCCTATCTGTGAAGCACTTGTGATTTAGATGATGTACTTATTAGGAGCAAATAATTTATCTCTAGACCTGAATTACTTCTGTGAATCACACATTACTTGTTACATTTTGATAAAAGGTAGTAAAGAATATATTAGAGGCATGATTATTACAAATAACTTAAAAAATTTAATACTCCCTTGCTAACACTTTATTTAAATTGTAACTGGTAGGTGCTTTTCCCATCTTAAAAACATACAAGCAAACAAACCAACCAACCACAATGCAAAATGTATCTTACAGGAATTCGTTAACATCATGCAGCTCTCCTGATTTGTATTTAATCCTTGAAAGAGACTGTTATCTAGAACGTTAAGCAGTTACAAAACTCACTTTGGGGGCTTCTAGCAGAATTTTCCTTAACAGCTGCTTCAAACATCTCAGGCCTGCAAACAGATTGAACATTTCGTGTACAATAATAAAATTACATTTATCAACATTAAGGAAAATGCAATTTTCTAGTATTAATTTATTAAAGACAGAAATCAAGTGATATCCTCTCAGACAGCCAGACAGCCAAGAATGCAATGGCTGAGAGGCTCCGCAACTTCTCTTGCCACTGTTTCTACACTGGCACATGGGTATCTAAACCTATTCTAGGCAAGAAAAATAAAGTCTTACAACCCCCAATATATGAATCTCCACTTCTCAGCTCTTAGTACTCTGTCAGCAAGTTCTAAGAGTAACCCGTAAGCACTCCATACAGTAGGAATTAAACCAGTGATGTGGTAACTGAAATGGGCTAAGAAATCTGGACTTTCTGTTCCTCCTAAAACAGGTTGTGAGTGTCTTTCAGAACAAAGAGATTACTCTATCTTGCTCCACCTCTAGAATAGCTTTCTGACCATTTCCTCATTTACTAAAAATATTCCAGTGTGTATTTTACAGACTAATTTAGCAACTCAGCAACACAATTTCATTTTTTGGTCTACATTTCAATTCTCATAGAATAGATTATCAAACACGTATGGGAGTCTTACTTTTTAATAATGAATTTTATCTTAGATTTGTTTCTCAGGATCTTCTCTAGTCTTGGAATTCCAAAAGTAGAAGGTCGGCGGAATGGCACCCCCTCAGGTAGTCCTTCCACATAGAAAACCTCCGGGAAGGATTCAAACAATGCAAACGGCACCTTCACTGGTTCAGTCAGCCCCAGCGCTTCCCCTGAAATGCAACAAAGCAAATAAGCTACCAGCTAGATAACTGATGTGTATATAAAAAGGAAAACCTCAGGTATAAACGGTATATAATAGTTGGCACATACATACTAGATTAGGTGAAACCAGCAGGCTTTGCCTTTTTTGGTGACAGCTATGAGTAGGCAGGAAGAAAATTAACAGTCTCAAACATAAGTCATTCTGTTGCAATAAATGTGATCATAATTTGCAGTTGAAAATTAATAATTTGCAGTCAGCTCAGGCCACTGGTTTGTTCTGCATGCAAGACTATCCCATTTGTACTCCACTTTGTTACAGGCAATGCATTCTGTCTCTGTCTCTGCTATAGAATAGCACTAAGGGCAGGTGAGATTAGTGCTCTTGTTCCAAAAGCCGCACTCAGAAGACTAATGAGAAGTTATTACTTCCAAAAGTCATTAGCTTCCAAACAGCACTAGAAGAAGTGCTGGGACACGATGGAGCATGTCTCTCCAGATACCATCCATAACGTATTGAGTCATATGGAGGCTTAAGTCATACAAAGTCCCATTCATAAGCAGTGTAGAAAGCTTAAAAAGATGTGCCAGGATGTGGAGTCACTATGTCTCTGGGTCATTAGAGAAGCAGTAATCCAACCACAACTTCTCCATTTCCAAACCCAAATAAAATAACTAGTGGAAATGCAACACAGAATTGCAAGCAACCTACATGAGAAAATGAGAAATTGCCTGGAGTACATAAGGACTGCAGAACCTTTGGAATAAACATGTGAATGTATCTCTCATACATCTAACTGCATGTTTGTAAGAAAGACAGCTCAGCAAAAAAGGATCAATAAACTTACCACATTTTTCATTAAAAAGATTTTCGACTTTCTGCTTTAAGTCAGTTATTTTGGCATTCCACGCCTCTGCCAGGAGGAAATTGGAAGAATTAAATCAACACTCACAGAATGAATCAGTCCTTGAAGAACATTTTAATAAATGCTTAATAAATGATTATGCTTGATAACCAATTTACTATGACAGTAAATTGTGCAAAATGGCTTTCATTCTGCAAATGCCACTGAAACGTTCTGCCACAGTCTAAACCTATATCCACATCAACCCCCATTTCCCTAAAGCTTTGAAAAATACTGCTACTAGATAAAGCAGAGGTGATTAAAATTGAAATTAACCTGAGTGATCCAAATTTACAGTATCAGGCAGCATAAAATTTACTCATCCGAACCAGCACCCAAAACAGTGACAGAAAGTTCTTAACATGTTTAGTGACATAGCCCCAGAACACATGTCTCTCTCTCTCGAACTATAAACTCTACCACAGTTTCAACTTCAGTGGGTAAGATTAAATGTCCATCTAGCTAGGCGTTTTGTTTCTGACAGCAATCAGCAGCAATTCGTAAACTGGTTTACTCGTGGCTGCAGTTAAGTGGTCCGAAGCCGGCCTACAAAATTAAAAACTCCGTTGAAAGTTTAAAAAAGTTGCAGACTTTTTTTTTTTAAAAAAAGCCTAAGTCTAACAATTACAAGCAAGTCCAAGAAAACTGTACACAACTCTGAATACGAATACTGCCCATGCCAAAAGGAGCAGTCATACCAAATCAGTATCTTATATTAATTCGAAACTGGTTCAGCAGGAGTAGAGGATTACTTTGTTTCATGTTTTATGACCATATGACTAAAAAGAAAGCACGAGGGACAAATACAATAAACCAAATAAACTCAGAATGTAAGGATGCTAAATAGAGGTTTCATGAGACTTGGGAACTGCTTTAGTTACTCTGAATACAGTAATTCATCTCACTTGACTATGAGGAATTTATCTGGGTTGCAAATTGACCCTGCTTTCAATGCAAAGATTTCTGTGCTAAAGGACTGCACAGACAGGCCTGGCCCTCCATGGCTAAGAAGCTCCGGCCCAATGCTCATGAACACAACCACATGGTTTCCAGTCCTGTCTGCCTTTTCCTTTACTGATTTTCCAGAACTGGAGAGGTCTATAATGGCTATCTTGCAAAATCAGCTCTGATAGATCATGGCTTACTAGTGTTAGTTCAAATGCTTCCTAGCTCCTACATACCACTTGGCTATCTGCACAGTGATGCTCAATATTCCAAGTTCGTGGAACACTTATTAAGCATATGCACAATATCAGATCTCAGCTGGGTTTATGCACTCTGGTGGTACTGTGCACCGGACAAGTCCTTCAAGGGTCTGCAGCACTGTGAAATAACAGAGCAGCAAAAGTCTAAAGGGACTGATTCTGAACCCAAATTAATAAGATCCAATGGACCTGTGCTGCATTTGTAAAGCATTCTCCATACATCACCCAGGATTCGTTCGATGCAGATTATTCTACATGATGAACTGAATGTACATGAAAACAAGAACTTCAGTCATTCACCGACTGTACAATAAAACACGAATTCAAAATATCTCTGATATGTAATCACCAGAATTTTCAATACCAACATTAATAGAATGCATGTGCTAATTCCCACAACATTTACCAAAAGAAAACTCTCTTCCTCGTGGCTTGAAACTCATATTGGACCCATTGGTTTGAGAACTAGTTCGAACATCTGTTGTTTGTGGTTTATTAGGACCTGTAAAAAGACACATATATACATACAGAGAGCAGAAGCAAGCCATCATATGAAGAGAACAACACATCAAACTTGATGACTATAGAAAACTTAACTTCTAAATCAAGAGTAGAATAAAAAAAACTGGTAAGAAGTTCTAGGGTTATATTTAAGCATTTGATACTACTGATCACATCTGTCATTCCTCTGCTCAGGACTACATCAGTTCCCAGATCTCTGCTTGGAATAAAAGGCCCAAGCAAGTTGTGAAACTCCAGCATTTTACATAACCATCATCTGCACAGAATCCAGTACTATTCAGAAACAAAAAATAAACCCATTTCTATATTAAAGTGTATTTGAAGCCTTGAAATGAAACTGAGCTTGCTATATGAGGTGCATGTGTAAGTTAATTATGGGCTATGAAAACTGAGAAGAACAGAAAACTTTAGAAGAATAGAAGAACATTAGAAGAATATTCAATGATATTTCTTCCATACCTTCTTCAACAGTAACTTCAATTTCTGGGACCTTTGAATTGCCTGCAGGACTTCGTGACCTTTTTGAACTCTTTGGACTCATTGCTGGAAGTCAATATAATACAAGGTATAATGCACAAACCCTCTATAATGTATATCCTGCACAGCTAATGAAAAAACAGCTGTATTCTGAAAATTCCAACAGACTGAAGAATCACTTGTGTCTGTACTAAGTACAGACTGCATTGTAAAATCTGAACAATACAGTGACGCTCACACCCTTAAAAAGTAGGTTTGGTACTCTTGAAAAAGGTAGGTATCACACCTAAATTTTCACTCCACTAATTCAGAACAGAAGACTTCATTGTTTCTAAGTGTGAGGGACAGCTTTGGTGCTTTTTATTATCTAAACAGCAAAAAATATTAACTTCTGATTTTTTTATAGACAAACTTAAAAGACTTGCTTTTTTATTCTTTTCTTACAAAACTTCATTGTTATTTACTTCAGTTCACAGCTATAAGTTAAATATAGGCCACTAATAGCAAAATAAAAGTTGTCAAAATTGGGTAGATTCCATTTTCTGTATCAGAATAGTCTTAAGTAAAAAAGTTGATAAATTTGTTTTGAGTAACTTTTTCAAATAATAGCAGATTTAGAGGCTACTATGCTAGACCATCTTAAATAACGCCTTTTGTTTGCAACACCCATATTTTTCAACCACAAAGATGTCTCAGTCTGCTAAGGGAGCAGTAAATATTTATGAATTGATGGCAGCAATTAATACTTAATTATTTACCTTTAGTGTTTATTTTACTAGCCAGTGCTGGAGGCAAATAGGAAGTAACAAGCTCAGGCCTAGAAGTTGAACAGAACACAATCCAATCAATTACACAAGCAAGAAAAATAATACAGCAAAATGTTACAAATTTCTTGGAATTCATTTGAGTTCCAATTTACATATCATCAGCGCTCTATAATAAAATTCTTCCAGAAGCACAGATGACTCTCCATCTACTATAACCACAAAAAGTTAGAAAACATAAGCTGCATTTTCTACTCTGCAATTTTCTTCTGGGTTTATTTCAAGCAAAAAAAAAAAGAAGGAAAAAAAAAAGAAGGAAAAAAGCTTCCAAGTACAAGGCCATTTTTTTCCCCTAGATCCTTGATGCACGAAACACACAATTTATACATCTATATAAATTTAATAAGGAAGGTATATCCTTTTATGAGATAAAACATACATGTAAAATGTTCTTTCCGTTTCATGCAAACAGAATTAGGTAGCATTTAAAGCCTAGAGTTGCTGGGAAGAAAATCAAATAACTTCAAAATCAGGAGTAAAAATAACGGAATTACAAACATACTTTTTAACAACAAATTTGATTTTGCCACTCCCACGGACAATTCTTTCAAGGCGTGGAATTCCAAACCACGTGGGACTCCGGAAGGGGATTCCTTCTGGCAAGCCTTCGACATACAGGTACTCAGGGTTTGATTCAAATACAGGATACGGAACTTTCACTGCCTCTGAAAGCCCCAGAGCTTGGGCTGAAAATAAAGATTTAATGATAATTTACATACTCAAATAGGTGGTATTTTATCTCAAGTGATTTTAAGAAGCTTGACTACAGAAGCTCTGCTACTAAAGAGATAATTAAAAAACCCAAGAGAAATATTTAAATAGATTTTCTATTATTTTCTGTAGAATAACTGCAAATGGGGACTTGGTCCATCTTGTTACAGATAACATCTAAGCATGCAGTGCCTAATATATTCTTCTGAGAACTGTTTTCATCCAAAAGCTTTCTGTGCACACATCATCATCTCCAGTTGTCACACAACTGGAAAAACTATGGCCTAGGATGTTGTTATAAAGTCATTTATGTCAGTTATCGGGAAGAGTCAGTAAAAAGTAGGTAAGAGGAGTCAAGATTTCCATATCTGTCCTAGTACATTTCTGATGTTTAAGTAAGTACAGTAAAATTTAAAACTCTTTTTACAGATGAGTTTTAAAATGCAGCAGCATTATAAAACAGTTCATTTAACATTTAACTTACCAAACTTCATATTAAATATCTCTTCTACTTGCTTTCTTAGCTTTGTGATCCTGACATTCCAATCTTCTTTCACTGAAAACCAGAAATGGATATATGTCAGAGTATCACCCAGTCCTAGATAAAGAGGTACACTGAACAGATTTTTTTCAACACAATCACATCTGAGTAGGCAAGGACACACAATGAGTAATGATTATTAATGGCAGCTTAAATGATACACATAATTCCCTCTACATAACGGAAAATCTGTTTAAATGTAGTTACAAATTTCAAACATTGGCCCAAGTAGGAGAACTTGTTCTTCAGAGCCTTTAGATGCAGGAAGCAATTATTCTAGTGGCTCTTACAAAGTTGGAATTAATTAATCAGAGTGCATAAGAATAACACTCTTTAGAACAGAAGATGAGGATTTAAAGAGTGCTTTGCTAAACATTTTGATTAGCATAAAAAAAAAAATCATCTTCAGTCCTGTTCTCTATTGTAAATAAAAGCCAATTACAGGAGTGCTAGCCAGAGCAGACAATTTGTAGCTTAGGTAGAGAAGAAAGCAAAGGACACTAGCAGCAATAAAAAGCACTTTTCTGACAAACAGCATCCTAATTCATCACTTTTCATCACAACCCACAAATAACAATTAACTGCACTGAGCTAAACTCATTCAGAGTTGTGGAGAGCATACATGAAAGAAGCTATACAGAATTTTTTTGTTTCCGAATCATATTTTTGACTAACAAATTACCTGACCTTGTTTATTTCTAGCTTCTTATATTTTCAAGGCAAGATACATTAATATTTTTTGCAATCTGGGCTACTTATTTGATAGATTTCACAGGTATTTAACACCTGCACCTGTGCTTACACTTAATCACATGTTGTAGTCTTACTGGCAAAGGAATTAGAGTGACTAATTTACTTTAAAAAATTAAAATGCAGACTGTTGAGGGCACAGGATTACTACTTTGCAACAGAATAGTATTTCGCTTTAAAAAAGGTCTAATATTCTTTAGCAACATAAAGTTTGCATCTACAGTAAGAAGATCCTCGGCCTTTGCCTGGGAAAATGGTTTTCAATAGGCTCTAACCCCAAGAGAACATTTGCTGTGTTTGCCTGTCTGACATCAAATCCTGGACCCTGGTAAGCTTTGTAGGCACTCATAATACCAGACTCACCTACAAGTTAGTGAAAAATACAGCAAAATAACTAGTAAAAAAAAAGAAATGTTATTCTGAACATTCAAACAGTCTAAGTTTTAAGAATCATGACCACTGCATGTTAGTTCTTTCGGAAAGAGGATTTTATTAGCAGGTTTTTTACTGCTATGATTGGCAGCTGCTCTTATTACTTCATTGTCAGATTGCCAGTTGTATTGTCAAATCTGATGACAATCAAGAGTTTTGGCAATAAAACAAAAAACAAAGAAAAAAAATAAACACGATGCTGCCTTTTCCTTCTGCTCCACATTTAACACAGTCTTCTCTAGTGAGCCACCCTCTTGCTGTATATGAGCCTTTTCCTAAAATCCAAACAAAATCCACAATACATTGTGATGACATAAGACAACTACTGATTACATGATTATTAAATCATATTCTTTCCCTTTTTTTTTCCCCTGCAGTGAGCTCTACAATTCCTAAAGCTGAGGTTTGTGTTATTCCTGCAAGCAGATTCATGCTCCTAAAAAAACCTAACAAGGTCTGGAACATGCACTTCTGTAGCAAGGAAGTGCCAACACACTCCACTTCAGAGCATTCAGAAATAAAACCCAGTCTGATTCTTGCCTGTGCTAAAGGCACTTCATGCTTTCAAGAAGTCATTACAATTCCTTACCAACAGAGGCCTGAAAAAAGGCCAACAGAGTCAGCTGTGAAATGCTAACGGGCTCCAGAGCTTTGATTCAGGCCAGGATAGTAACTCCAGTTCTCCCGGGCTGTGAAGGTGACCCATTCTAGTTATTCAAAGACAGCTGGACTGCACCACAATCCAGAAAGCCACCCATGTTCCTAATTATCAATTTATTCTTTTCAGACCTCATGAAGAGCATGTCAGCACACTCAAATAGGGTTACTTCTTGGAAAATGTTGCATTGATCCAAATGTGTTTCCCCCCCAAACCCTTCCATTCCCACTTGGAGACAGCAGCTGTCTTACCTGGGGTGTTCGACCTGGGCTGAATAACTTCGGTTGAAGTGAGAGTTAGCAGCTCTGGCCTGCAACCAGAAAACAAATAATGTGCCCATTCTTGATATAAATTAAATACTACTACTTAGTAGTAGTGACATGAATTGGAAAGTTTGAATTTTGCTATTATGTATTTCAAACTTGTGAACATGCTACAAAGATATTTTGGAAGTCTTTTCTGGATTGCAAATACCCACTTTATAATGCAGAATATTTAATCTACCTATTTCGTAACTAGAGACTGAATGTTTCATGACTTAAAGAAACCAAGTGCTTGATTACACAAAGGGTGTTTGTTTGGCCTCTTTCTTTAAAAAAACCCATGTTTAGACATTAAAACACTTACCTTCTGATCACAAATTTTATTCTGTTGCCCACTTGAATTATTTTTTCAAGGCGAGGGATTCCGTACCAGGAGGGACTCCTAAAAGGGATGTTCTCTGGCAGCCCTTCAACATAGAGGTCAGTAGGATGGGCCTCAAATTTCTGGTATGGAACAGCTTTTGGTTCAGTGCTCCCCAAGGCCTCAGCTGTTAGAACAAAACACATCCAGTAACTGGACTCTTGGGCCATCGACCTTTATTAAAAGCTAGCTAAGCTACCAATTCCTCAGGCTGTTGCAATCGTGATCTTCGAACATGGGACAATGCAGGATATCTAAACTCAACAGAGTCCAAGTCTCAGCACATCAAAACCATAAAAATTTACCATATTGTATCATGTTGCTATTGGGCAGTCACAATGCTAGACTGAAGATTACCGGGTTCCTCACTGGGACATAATACAGTGGTTTCATCCAAAGTTTTTAATCTATTATAGAGCATCATGAAACATTTTATTCTAGCTCTTATGAAGTTGACTGTTTTTTATATTGGAGAGAACATAACAATTCACCCAGAAACGTTCTACTACTAATTTTAATGATACTGCAATGGATATAAATAAGTAAATGGTTGTTTTATTCACCATCAAAGGAAAAAAAAATCCAAATAGGAAGAAACTGAGAGAAATTAGATGAGCTGTACATACAAGACTTACACATTTTTTTTAACTATGAATTTTCCTTGTCGTATAAGCAGTAGAGTAATACGTTCTTTTTTGCTCAACTGCCAGGATTTTAAATATTTGAAAAAACCGATCAAAGGTCTCATTCATGTGGATGTTCAAAGGAAATAATGAAAGCAACCTTCAAGAAATACAAAGCCATAAAAGAAAAAAAACCCCCAAACCTGTACTCACCAAACTTTTTACAGAAGAGTTGATCTACCATCTTCCTCAGTTTGGTGATTCTGGCATACCACTCCTCTTTCACTGTATTTGAGAATGACACAGAACAAAACCAACATTCACTAATTATTTTGGTTATATTTTCAGTCATTCAGTTTATAGCATGTATAACCACCCTGCATTTTCAGGTAACCCAGAAAATACCATGCAGAAGTATGGATTCAACTTGGAACTAGGAAAATTAATTATAAAAAATGACAGAATATTAAAAACTGTACAAAAATCCACTGAACCAGTGACACTGCACTTGCTACAAAAAACCACACCTGTATTGGCATGAAGAACTGCAATGCCTTCATCATCAGCCTCCAATCTGTAGATCCCATTTGGAGATGGGATTAGTTTTTTGCCAGTTTCATTTTCTAAAAAATTATCTTGATATTCAGTGCAGAATTTGGTGTGCATATGGGATGAAAACTTGCTTTCAAGGAATTTTCACTAAGCAATAACAACCCCAAAGCAAGCCTTTATAATGGGTGCACGCAGCAGTATACTCATGTTGAACTTGCAGTACCCATTTCTCCCACTGTTCATGGACAATACTTTTTAAATGGTGATTAATAACTACATCAAATGACTATAGGGATTTTGTCATTCTTCTTGAGATGACAAGCAGTTTAGTTCCAACTCTCCAAAATGTCTCCTTGACACTACCCAAGATATGAGTTAAGTTATAATTGAGACACAGAACCCAACATGTGGCAGCTATGTAGATTAGCATATCCTGGTCAATAGGACAAGATTAAATACAGTTTTTCCATCATTTTATCACTTGAACATCTTTGCTTATTGGCTGATACACAGGCAACTTTGGAGTTCGTGAGACAAAGTTTTGTACCTGAAGATAGTCATAAGTGCGAGTTCTGCTCCTCCAGCAGAACAACAGAGCACAACGATGACATTAGTGCTGTCCTATTTGGTAGCTGGAATGGTAAGAGCTTTTGTTTCTGTTTTGTCATGTGTGCTTGTTATTTGGGATTGTGACCGGTACCCCCTGCTCCCAACCCCTGGTAATGTGGTTAGCATAACTAATGTCATTTTGTAAGGTAAGCAGCCACTCTCTGTGACCAAGCAGGTCACACATTCATTCCCTTTCCCTTCATTCTCAGGCCCTGAAGGTCCTGTGAACCAAGGAGACAAACAGATACCTTCTTCCTCTCCCTACCAGCCTCAAGGCTCCTGGGTGCCAGGCTGATTACTCCCTTCCTCAATGGCCTTGAAGGTCCCAGGCCCCTGGCCAGCCCAGTGGTGGTGATGTCCCCAGCATGGAACAAGGGAATGTAACAACAGCACACGGAGCACTGTCCATAAAATCACGCAGTTACAAGTCCTAAGGGGGGAACTTGGACAGGAGCTGCTGCTGGACAGAGAGACCTGTGACCCTCCAGTGGCCAGGGACACCTCCACCATCCTCAGCTTCCTCCGAGGATTGAGTGAGAATATATATTATCATTTTTGAGTCTAGATTATGATTATTGTATTGATACAGCAAGCCATGTGTTAAGATCTGACCTGACCTGCAGAGGGTCTAGGTGATTAGAAAGCACAGGTTAAGTGGTATTAAATTCTATATTATACTACTTATAAATTGTGCTACATTGATTCTGCTTCTAGAAATCCTGTGCCATTCTAATAATAAATTCTATGCTATACTAATTATAATATCTTGTTAAAAAAATAAAGCTTTAATTGTAACTATGATTTAGTGCTGTCATCATTCTGCCAAGGATCCCCAAAAGAACCTGTCTGTCCCCTCAGCGTCGGGTGGCAGGGATCAAAGCACATATCATACAAATCACTTTTTTTCTTCCGAATGTCTGTGTGACCAATAAGTGGAAGCTCATCAGTCTTGAACAAGATACCAGACAGCTGCCATGCTGTGGGTTTAGTCAACATGTGCAAGCAACAACTTCTGCTCCATAACTGCATTGCACCAGGTTGGGCTATCTTCGTAGGCACTTGATTGCACTTCTCCAGCCATTTCCCGAGCCAAACCATCACTGCCTGACTGGTTTGTCTTGCTGAACATACCAGCCTTCTCAGGGCTTCAGGGCTGAGGCCATTTCATAAAACCTTCCTGACCAGCCTATCTCCTACAAGAATGCAAATGGTCTTTCTTCTGTCAGTCAAAATACAACTTCTGTACTCATCCCATTCCTCTTCTGCTGCAGACACAAGCTAGCAGGGGCTATGGACACAGCAGGACATTGGACATGGAGCCACAAGGAGCTGAGAGCAGAGGCTGGCATTACACAGCTCTCTCCTGAGACAGCAGCAGACATGTGGAGCAGCAGAGGAGATGATTAGCTACTGGGAAAAAGGGAATCCAAACAGGGAGAAGAGAAAACTGAGGGAAAGGAGGCTCAGACAGCTGCTGTCTTCTGATCTGTGTTCCCTGAGAAGTTATCAACAGCTTTCACAGACCTTCTCTTCTCTCAGAAATAATGCCGAGGCCACACATGAATATACCATCATTACGAGTTAGTGAAGACAAGTGACTGTTCCTAACACTGTGCCATAAAAATGGGTTACCACTAGTTTTTTTAGCTACGGGGGTTTTATGGGATATGCAATGTACCTGCTTTGTCTTCATAATCAGTATAACCATATTAAATATGACAAAAACAACAGAGAAAAGGGCTAATTTAAAAACCCACATAAGAGTACAGTTAAGTTTAAGACTCAGTCATTAGCCTACCTACTATTTTTGTAGGCAAATTTGGTGCTCGAAGGAACAGTAGGTTATTAAGACTCAAGACACTAGGTTAACTTATACCACAGCAAAAATTTAATTCCTACACACTTGCTAAAGTGACATCCTTATGACATAATTTCTTTGCTTAATTTAGATCCTTAATGTTCACTTAAGTACAGTCTTTGATATACTTTTTACAACATAAGACTATGAGTATATAATACAACATAACGGTGCTGCAGTAGTGCAGATACTACCATTTATATGCTTGTGTCACTGTCTGAACTAAGAATTTCTCTAGCATTACTTGAAATTCACAGTTCAACCAGGCCAAGTTTGCCAGTTAGCATTTTGGGGTTGGGAGCAATTTGTTTGCTACCATTGGTTCAGGCATACAAGCTTTCAATGCTTGCCTTAACTGGACAATTAAAAAAATTGCCCTCAAGCCCAAAAGACAGTAGAAAGCAACTGAACAGAAAAACAAGTCCAGGAAAGTAATTTACCAACTAGTGCCCACGCAAAGGCTCAATTCCTTCAAAACTTGATTTTTCCATACTAAAAGTTTTTCTCCCAACTTGAGGGGAAATGAGTTCATGGGTGCCATTGTAAAGAAAGTCTGTTCTTGTAGTCTTGTTTTTACGTGGTCATTTTTTTACCTTTAGATGAGTGCTCAACGGAGACAAAACATGTAAGAACATGCATCTGCTGAAAAAGTAATCCTCATGGCAAAAGTGGTTAGAATGCATTCTCTTTGTACTACTATGTGAAAATGGAGTCTGATCATCTGAGCAAGTCAGATTCTACAACAATAACTGCCACTATAAACAGTATGTTCATTACTGCATTTCAGTTAATCTAATTTTGGCAAATTCCATATATAAGAAATTATTCCATGATACAGACAGTTCCCTACCCAGTAAACTCTATCAACTATGGAAACTACTGCCTCTTCTCTGTATCTCAACAGACTAACACTTAGCTCGTTGTTCTTCATTCTGGCCAGCTGAATCAAATCAGTTGGTAAGTGTTAGTAGCACTGGCTCGGATAGCCACTGGAAAATTGCTGTCACTTTGTAGCTAAAGAAAATTCAAGCCAAGAGGAATTATTTGCAATGTGTTATTAGTAAAAGCAAATGGTAGCCACCACTAAGACTGACAAATAGGAAATCATACTGTACTTCTACAACTCACTCATTCGAAGACCTACCTCCTGCAACTGGTTTGTCCAGTGGCACATCTTCTCGTGTTGAATTCAAAAGCTCATGCCTAAAAGATTTAAGATACATGTGTGACATACACTTTGATAAACCAGAAGTTACAGCCGACAGTTACAGCCTCACATTACCACTGAAGGATCAGAAAAAAAAAATAACAAGGGACATCACAATCCCCAACATTAAATTCCAATTAACACCAAAGTATTATGAGAGCTGGTTGGAACCCTACTGACAAAAACATTTTCCATGCCTGTTACCCATATCCACCTGAGCCATAGCATTCCATGGTAACATACAGATTACATTAAAATTATCTCTGAGGTCTAAGACACACTCCATCAGAAACAAAGATCCAAATCAAAAATTTAACCTTTAAAAATTAAAACCTCAAAGCAGACATTTCTGTTTCTCAAACACATCTAGTTTTATCCATATTAGAACAATAAAAAATTTTAAAATTCTGACATTTCTCACAGAGCAGAACTGGTTTTTGAGCTGCTCTGCTTACCACATGTTCCAAACCTGATGAACAGCATAAATTAATTACTGTTAACAACTAAGACAAATTCGGCAAGAGCAGGTGCCAGCATTGCATAAATATTAAAATCTATGCACAGTGCCTGATTTTAAGTGAGACAAAAGGTAGATCTACACTTCTTCCTCTTTTCTGGTTATCTGCAAGTGTTCGGATGTCAGAAACTGAACATCTGCCTCTCAGATTTGAGAAACTAGCATCTATACTAAAGGCAGCACGCACAGAGGCATGGGCTGTCACTACCACCAATTCTGAGCCTAACCACTGCAATCAGCAGATTCCTATTCACTTCAAAAACTCTTGGATTAGGTCCTACACCGCCGAACAATAGCAAAACACTAGCAGTTACTCACAGAAGCTTCATTTAAACTGTAAATGCCCATCTGTGGTGTGAAACATCACATCACATCTGTCTGAAGTGAAGCACCAAACTATAAAAGGTAAATATCCACCCATTACCAAAGCTGCATGTCAGCCTGTCACAGTCGTACCCACAGTACTGGATCTCTAAGTGCTCTGCAGCTCTGAGATCCAGCACTCGGCATCCACAGATGCTGGCATCTCTCCCTGCATATCCTGAATTCAGGGGTGGTTCAGGCTCCCTTCCAATCCTACCTGTCTTTGCAGAAAATAATGTCAGGGTTCTTCTAGGAAAGACACCAAGGCAAGAAAGGAGAAAAAGAGAAAGAAAGGACTCCAGAACATCTCATGAGTCTCATGTCCTCACTTTAAAGGCAGATGATACCCTGTCAGGCTAGCTACGGCAGGCAACTGAGCCCTCAAGTTTTCTATGTACATCTAAGGTCTCCTGTCACGTATACTATCTGATCTACCTCCAGACACACCAAGGACCCACATCCAACTATATCACAGGAACTAGTAGCTATTTTGGCCTCAAGCCTGCCCTGGGAGATGCTATACACAGATACAGCTGTAGACACCTTGATACAGCATTCCAGCAAGAAAAATATAAAAGCACAAGCTGAAATTTAGGCTGAGATCCTCAGATAGCATAAAATACCCCCAAGTCAATGGCTTTCAACATGTATTACAGCCGCAGAGATTAAAATAGTACAAAGAGATCGGCCCATGACAAGAAGTCCATAATATCAAAGAGATCTGTCCAGATCTCAGCCACCCACTGTGGTGCTCCGGTGATCTGATAAGCTGAATTTATCAGAGTGAACATCAACTAAATATTATTCATCTGTACTGCAAAAGAATACATTGGTAGAAATCAGTTTGGAAGTTCTTGAAGATAAAATAAAGCAGAGTGGAGCCAGCAGAAAACAATGAGTAATAAAGGAACAAAAACGTAAAATTCCTTACTTTTTAATCACAAACCGGATTCGCTCCTTTGCTAGAAGTATCCTCTCAAGACGGGGAATGCCATATGTGGATGGCCGCCTGAAGGGAATTCCTTCTGGCAACCCTTCCACATATAAGTCTTCCACATGTGACTGGAAGAGTGGGTATGGGATAGACACTGGACCTTTTGCTTTTATAGCTTGAGCTTTAAGAAAAAAGGAGAATAAAAAAATTAGACTAGCTTGTGGCTCTACTCAAATTATCTGTTTGATATCACTCTGAAAAACATTAAAATTAGCAGAGAGGCAATAACCCCCTCAGCACATTTAAACATGCAAGCATTCATATTTGTGGGGGGTTGTTTTTGTTTTATAGCAAAATCACTCTAATTCACAGTAAACAAGCTGCAGAAATGCATACATATGCAGATTCTCCTCTTTTCCCTTTACTCTGTAAACATTTAATAACAGAGACTGCACCTGTTACAGTGAAGTTTCACAGTATTTTGGGTTTGTTTAATAGCACATTTTGAAAGATGAAATTATCTAGACAATTATAAACCAAGCATGTTTCAGTTCATTAGCTCTGATTATTATTATTTGTTACTATTATTGGGTTACAAGAGTCATTAATGCCTTGGAGAAGGGGCACACATCCCTTCTTTTGAGTGAATTCCTAAAGCTTCGTTGTATTTTAGAAATCCAAGGAAGCACTAATGAAATAAATAATACACTTCTAACACCACTGAAAAAAACCACGGCCCTACTAATGAAATCTTTGAAGCAAATGAAAAGCAAATAACAGATTCACTCACTGCTGGAAAATAACCTCAATGTATTTCTTTATGCTATGAGGACCATAATCATGTCAATACACCTATCAGGCTGGCAAATACTGGAGAATGGCATGATGGTTTGCAAATGCCAAGAGGGCTAATTGCTTTATACTCACAAGGGTATGTTAATTTTGCAGGCCATGCAACAAGAATTCTCTATTACCATCTGACTGGCCTGCAAATAGTTTGGTACATTCTGTTGTTTTGCTATGGAAATTAGATGCAAAAAATTACTTGAGAAGAGAAAGGCCAAGCTAAGGCCAAATTAGAGTACAGTGATTTTGTGGCAGGGTTTCTGAAAGCAAAACTACTCAAGGGCACCTTTTCAAGCAACTTAACCTAACATGAAAGCGGCCAGTGGTTCAGACATCAGTGTATACCAAATGCTTACATTAACTCACAAATTCTTAAAAGCAATAAAACAATTTAGGTTTTAAAGGCATTTGGGTAACATACTCTTTCAACCACTTGGAAGTAGAACAGTTCTAGGTATGTTTATCACAAAACAGAGAAGCTTTAAAAATACTGTATGTATCTTAGTCTTATATTCTGATGAGAACCGAATATCAAAATTTTAGAAAACTGTGAGAACTGTGTTTCAACTAGACTTGGTTTCAACTGCCAAATAAAAGACAGCCAAAACTAGAGACAGAGAATAGATACATACGGAGGGACATGAACCTGAAGATGACTCTTAGCAAATAGACTAAAGAAACCCTATTCAAACCTGTGTCAAAGGAGCTGCAGGACAATCACCAAAAGAGCTGTTGTGTATCACACCAGTCCTTCATTAAAGTAGATTTTTATTGCAGTCATATACCTCTTCCAAGAAATTAAAAAAATTATTCTCAGCCCTGGAGGCTGTTGTGGCAAGTGGTGAAAAGCGTAACAAATCCAGCAGATGAGCCTCAGATGGAAATGAGCGTTTGTGAACCACAGTTAGCCGCCAGAAAAAAGATCAGGAACATCACTAAAATCTAGATCACTACACAGCATCAAGTAAGAACAGCTTCAGGATAACAAAAATCCCATTTCTTTAAGCAAGTAACTAACAACAGGTAAGTTTTTACAAGTGAGAGTATTTCTCTTAAATCAGCAAATGTTTTAGCAAATACTCTTCAGACAGCCAAAGAACACAATCAGCATCACAGTCTGCAGTGAGGCTTCTTAGATTTGGAAGCTTACGTGGTTTTTGCATAGAAATCCTACTGAATATAGGTTTCATTTTTATAAATGAGTCTGTATTTGTGAGCCACTACCTTGTATTTACCACTATAAAAAGTAATTCCATTTAGTTTACATCTAGACACAAAAATAAATATATTTTCAGACATGTCAGTTGTCACAGATGACAATGACTGACATTGCTAAAACACTTTGGAGCTCCAGAAGCCAACAAATCTGAGGCGCATTCTGGGAATTCTGGACCTCCATAACTCATTTCAGTAAATGGGAAATTGCGTGCCCATACTGATAGAAAAAAATGGAATCTGAAATGGAGAATTGGTTTGTGAATCAATGAAATGTTGTCATCCACAGGGAAAAAGGGGATAATTAATACCATCTGGCCTGCTATGTAAAGTCAGGAATAGCTCTGTATTCAACAGACTCAACAGGAGATTTTTAGGCTGGCTATGTGCAAACACCAAAACCAAAATTAAAGCAATTCACTAAGAATGATGCTCCTTTCTAGAGCAATTAAAACTCTGTGAATCAGATTCTAAACTGTTTTTTTACTTGGTGTGAGTTCCTTTCAGTGGGCTGTTTAAATGTCAGATGATAGTCACACCCAAAACACGTAGTAACTCCAACATCACAAGGTCCATTCTGAAAGCACTTCCACTTTTCATGGCAGAGGAGCACTACCATTTATTGTGAAATTTTGCTGATGCTGTTTTAGTCTGCGATATGTGGACACAAAATATGTCTAGGTGCAACATCTGGAGACAAATTCCGAAGTCTAACACGTGTGCTTCTTTTTCTCTCCAAGAACCATTAACATGTAATTGTTGCTTCACTGCAAGTCAATCATAATCAGAAAGGAACAATCAGTCAGTGGTAGCCTCTCCCCAGAGCCATTTTAAAAGATCATCTCACTGAAGGACTCAGTGTAATTACAGGAAAAAAGGCCAGCTCTCTCAAATGTGGGTGGCTCCAGACATAAGCACACTGGAGCCCCAGGAAACTGAGCACAACTGAAAAATAAAATCAAGTTTTGCACTTCGGTGCCAAACACAGGCACCCCATTTTGAAATTACTGTGCTCATCAAAAAAGCTACTTTCCCCAGTTTTAGGTCTTCTAATAATATTTAGCCCTTTGGTGCTGTCAGTACTGGTGTGCTCCTGAGCCAACAACAAGATGCATGCCAAAGAGCTGTGATTTACGGCGTCAAAGGAGTAGAGGCAATTGTTTGGAAAGGAGTGCAACATACCGTATTTTTTTTCAAACAGCTCTTCAACTTGCTTTCTCAAGTCTGTAATTCGTGCATTCCATTTCTCTGCAAAGAAAAGAGAAGGACATGTCAGACTACAAATGAAACAGAGAATCTCTTGTAAAATCTATGTTACCACTAAATGAAATATGCAGTGTGCTTTTACTGCTCACTTGCATACAGGTGCCTGTGGAGTACAGTACAGGCTATACCTTAAAAATATATCGATACATACAGGAAGAAAAAAGGTAGAATAAAATGTTTAAGATTACCTCCAAAACTTGTGCAGATGTTAAATCGTTTAAAAAAACCCAAAACATAAACCAGGCTAAAGTAACTTCCAAAAAATGGTTTCTCTTTGATGGCTCAGTCGGCAGCTCTCACTACCATCAGGGGTAAAGTCAGTTTGCAACCGCTGTTGATAGTTACCTAAATCTGGGCACTGAGAAGCTTAATTAGTGAAGCTTGATCAAGCTTACAGCAAGTCCATGAAGTTGTTTTGGCACAAATCTGTACAAATATCTGGGTCAGGAGGCATCATGCCATCCTTTACCTTCATCCAGTACTTCTCCCAAGTCCTGATGTTGCAAAACATCCCCATAAATCCTATTTCTGAAGGAAGATACAGGCTGCAAGACAGAAGTTATCCAAATCCAATCGTGTGTTCCATGGAGAGCTGGATTAAACAGCAGAATTTTAACATCTAATTTTCTGTCTGTGACAGAGAGCACATGTTTTCACAGCTTTTTGTACTATCTTAATACTTCTAGGAAAATGCCACAACTCTTTTGTAGATGGTACCAGATGCTAGCTGGCCTTTTAAGAACAAGTTAATAAGCAAGTATACTTGCAGCTTATTTCTTACACCAAAGACTTGAATCTAGTAACTATAGAGGTCAAAAAATGAGGCCATTCAAGCTATTACATTTTCAGTTGTCAAAAAATTCTTGTATCAGACAAGACAGAGGATTGAATTTTGAGTCTGTATCGAAAGGGCTTTAAATATTCATTCTCAGACCAATGTACACAACTTTGGTGGCCATGTTTAAGCTTATATTTTTTAATGTAATTTCATGGATATCAGTAGGACAGCATGCTTCAGATGTGGGCAAGAATAAGACCTTGTTTAGAGGGGAAAGGGCGTTTTGGCATGCTGCCTTGCATCTACACATAAACTCTTCATTCAAGTTACCTGGCATATCACCTACATGAATTAACCTGTTTCTATTTTGAAATAACATCGTTGTGGATAATCTATATAATTGTTTCTGCCACCATTTTACTGCTATCCCGTAGTACACAGCTTCTTAGCTGATAAACATGTCTTGAACTCAACATTTTCTATTCCTGTGTCACTTCAACCTTGTAATATTTCTCCCTTTAACTGCAGATGTATAGCCAGATGAAGCTCTTTTGAATTCCAGCACGAACAGCAACTGCATTTTTTGTTGACGTACATACAGAGCAATGGATTAACAGCAGCGTTACCAATAAGTCAGGAAAATACGCGTTAGAATTTACTGGCCTAAAGGGGAAACCCTGCTTTACTCAACAGAGCTGGTGAACACACATGGACAGTCCTGGGACAAGGGTTTGGAAAGGCATCTGTGTGACTCCAGATTGTAACCCAGAGAAAACTGTAACAAAGTTGAGATCCCTTCAGTTCATCAAGCTTTGAAGCAGACTCAGCAAAGATCTCCTCTACAACTCAGGCTGGTTTATGTCAGAGAGAGAACAGCCAGAAAGAATGTCATACCATATTACAAAGCAACCATATAGAAGTATATAAGTAATACTGTTCTGATATTGGTTGTTGCTACAATTTTAGGAGAAGCTGCTCCCACCCAGCCTGGTCTCCCTGTGCTTGTTAGCATGCTCACAAGAGTGTTTCTATATGAGCCATTAAGTTGTCAAGGCTTCGTGTTTCTCAGTTACCAAACCCCACAATCGCTGGCCAAATACTCCATGCAGATCTTTTCAAGCAACTACTTCTGTGCCCCTCTTCCTCCAATGGAAACACTACAGGATTAATAACCAAATACACCACAATACAGGCATGTTTATTTGGAATGGTGGATACATAGAGAATAGGCAATTAATAAAAAAATCATGAACTGGCTCACATTTTGATCAGCACACTGTTTTTTTTAGCTACTTTTGTATTTTATGAGCAAATTGTCATGTCAGGCTACAGAGATATTTCAAAATTCAGAGGTGTTATCAGGTAACCGGCATGATTTTTATTCAGATTGTCAGCATTATTACCCCTTGGATTCAATTACTGTAAAAACATTCTTTTGTCACACATTTCATGCCTACGTAGCAAAGTTGAAGAACTACCACAAAGCTAAGCTGATACTCTGGTTTTGGTAATCACTCTCTGCAAAGCAGTTTAGTTTTCCCGTAAGCACAAAGATAAGTGGTGGTTTCCTTCTATTCCTATATATACACCTTCTGACACATGGGAAACACCATCCCAATTAAATAACAATTCTGAAAACTTCTCCAGTCTGTCCACAGTGTCTTCAATTTACCCCATTCTCTGCTCCTTAGGGACATGCTCCAAATAATATCCACTATAGTAGAGGCAACCTGCACAGTGCACACAAAATGATGCTGTTGTGGTTTAACCCCAGCCAGCAACTAAGCACCACGCAGCCGCTCTATCACTCTCCTCCTCAGCTGGACAGGGGAGAGAAAATATAACAAAAGGCTCGTGGGTCGAGATAAGGACAGGGAGAGATCACTCAACAACCAACTACCATCACAGGCAAAACAGACTCGACTTGGGGAAAATTAACTTATTACCAATCAAACCAGAGTAGAGTAATGAGAAGTAAAACCACATCTTAGAACACCTTCCTGCCACCCCACCCTTCTTCCCAGGCACAGCTTCACTCCCGAATCTCTGCCTACCCACCCTCCTCCCCAGCAGCACAGGGGGACGGGGAATGGGGGTTGGGGTCAGTTCATCACACGTTGTCTCTGCCGCTCCTTCCTCCTCAGGGGCAGGACTCCTCACTCTTCCCTTGCTCCAGCGTGGGGTCCCTCCCATGGGAGACAGTTCTCCATGAACTTCTCCAACGTGAGTCCTTCCTATGGGCTGCAGTTCTTCACAAACTGCTCCAGCGTGCGTTCCTTCCATGGGCTGCAGTCCTTCAGGAGCACACTGCTCCAGGGTGGGTCCCCCATGGGGTCACAAGTCCTGCCAGAAAACCTGCTCCAGCGTGGGCTTCCCACGGGGTCATGGCCTCCTTTGGACATCCACCTGCTCTAGCGTGGGCTCCTCCCCGGGCTGCAGGTGGAGATCTGCTCCACTGTGGACCTCCATGGACTGCAGGGGGACAGCCTGCCTCACCATGGTCTCCACCACGGGCTGCAGGGGAATCTCTGCTCCAGCACCTGAAGCACCTCCTCCCCTTCCTTCTTCACTAACCTTGGGGTCTGCAGAGTTGTTTCTCTCACATATTCTCACTCCTCTCTCCAGCTGCAATTGCAGAGGGATTTTTTCCCTCTTAAATCTGTTATCCCAGAGGCGCTACCACCATCGCTGATGGGCTTGGCCTTGGCCAGTGGTGGGTCTGCCTTGGAGCTGGCTGGCATTGGCTCTGTCAGACATAGGGGAAGCTTCTAGCAGTTTCTCACAAAAGCCACTCCTGTAGCCCCCCTGCTACCAAAACCTTGCCACACAAACCCAATACAGATGCTCAGGTACTAAGCACATCCCTATTCCCATCAACATGCCACACAGTACTCTGTGGGGAAATAAAATGGAAAACACACAGCAACTCTAAGCATGCTACAGGCTGGCAAAACCTGTGTTCAACAGCATGTCAAAATGGGGAAAAAAGTATCACACTTTCCATCACTGTCATAGTAAGACAACAACTAAGGGGACTTTTTTTTCCCACTAAAATGGTATGACACAACTGCAAGACACAACTTGAAGCTTCTGAGCGTCTGATAAAATCTCTAAGAAAGCAAAAAAATGTTGTGGGAAGAGATTTTTACTGACAATGTCAGTTCCTTTCAGCAAAGATATTTTTAACCTGAAATATTTGCTTCAGAAATATTTCTGAAATGCAACCTCCCTTCCCAAAGTTTAGCAATTTCTATCAAGCATTTTACCAGACACTTTTCATTCCTCCCCCTGGTTACAATTATTTTGTTTTCCACTTTGTTTTCCTGTTTTCATGAAACTAAGAGCACAGCACATTATTGACCCTGCTTCTCAGGCCACTTGGGGTACCTGATCTCTGACTCAATCAAGACATACAGGAAGTCTCTCCAACTCACAGCTATCAAACATCTGGATCTCATCAATGTTATGTAAAATACTGAAAGTCCTTATCAGATGAGACAGATTTCTCTCTCAAGCATCTATACCTCCTTTCCAGTCTTCTGAGTGTATGTGCCTTTGTCACTCTGCAGCTACTCATGATAGAATTAAATACCTCCTTTCTCCTGTCCAATTATCTAATATTAGACTTCATTAGTCAAAGGTGCAAAGTCTTCTGAAATGTCCAAACAGCAGCACTGCAACTACCAACAGTTGCTCTTTTTTTCATTACAGCAAATGAAGTCTATTTCTCCAAAACCTCTCACATTCATTTTGTGTTTTAACCAGACCTTGTAACATTGTAGAGAAATAGCACTTTCTGTAGGTGAACCCCAAAAGCGAGTATGAGGGGCAATAACCCCAATACAATTTAGGAAGCCCAGGAATAAAGATCTCTGAATACTGAACCCATGAGCTGCAAAACACTGTAATCTAACTGCACGGCATGTGGTTAAGAGCAAAGTTTTCTTGAGAACAGCCCAGAGGGTTAATCTACCAAGTCAACTCAGAAACAACAGTGAGCAGGTAAGCTGTGAGATGTTCTTTGACTGGTGTTTCAACATTTCAAGCTCAACTCAAACTTTTATCGTGCTAATATTTTATTACCTTTGCTCTCCATGTCTAATCAACCTCACTGTTTATTCCCTTCAAACACTGCTGGCCTGCCAAGCTTAGGTGCCATTTTCGACTAAGGGACTATATTCTAGCAAACACTTCTGTAGTATTAACTGCTCAATCTTCTCCTCTACTAATGTTGCCATTATGTTCTCCTGATCCAACCAAAACATAACTAATGCTACATGTGGAACTGCCTATTAGTATTAATGATCTTTTGAGAATAGAGCTCTCAACAATGTTTTATTCATTTTTGATGAAATTAGCATGAAATAACATGTTTCATGCAAAACAGATTTCTGAAGAGGTTCCATGGGGATTTTTCAATTGACCTCAAATCCCAGTGTTCCTAATAAACATCTCAAACATTGTGCCAAAGGACATATTCCTGATGGCTCAGAACCTTACAGAAGTACACAGATTCATAGGATATCTGCCCAGAAACCAAACCAAAACAAGAAATAAAGGAGAGGTATGGGGCTGCAACAAATCACATGGGAAGTATTTTTAACCAGAATAACTATGGTGTGTGGATGCGTTTCTGCAGTGAGAACTCTACATAAGGCATCATGAAAGAACACTACCAAAAAGACCCCAACTTTTTGTGTGTCCACAGGGATCAAGGCAGGCTACTTGGCATAACACTCATTTGCTTACCTTCCCAAATGTGGCTGCCCTCAGCACATCTTCATTGCTCACAGCACGTATCAATAAAGACCAGCTTGACCGGCTCCTGACCTCTAGTTTGCCATAATTCAGTACACTAGTAAATTCAGTCTATTTTCTTGTCCAAGAAATCAGCTGACAAAAATCTAGACTTATTTTTTATTTTATTAAATTACTTGCAGTGTCTATTCAGATGGTCACTTTGAATAATGAGAAACAACAGAGGTAGCCTATGATGATGATTACACTGCTGCAATACATCTACAAAGAGCCGTACACTCTTAAATGAATATGCACACTGGTGTGTCTCACTCCTGCAGTGTGAAATTGTCTAATACCTTTTTATAAAACAAAACAGAGAGACAAAACAATGTCTAATTTTTATCTTACCAAAATTGAACTCTCTCACTTTTCTTCTCCCAGTATTGGCAGCTTCATTAGCTGACTCGGTATTCTTCGGTCTCTTGTTAGGGGGCAAGTAGTCGTCATCATCTTAAAGAAACATAAAAATATCACTATTTTAAAGTCCAGAGAAGTCATGTGCAACATTGGAACTGCTTTGAATTTCAAAGCTCTAATGCAAGTAATGAACTGTGCTTTATCAGAGCATCACATTTTGCAACGAATTACTTATCTGAGTAACTTTAGAAAGCTACTGACCTGGGTAGGAACAATTTGCATAAGAGAGCCAGCACAAGGTGTAAGATGGCAAAAACCAAAGCTTCTTATGTACTTCCTAAGGAAAGCAATATTGTGCTCTGAAACACGACTGTACATATCATGATCACAAAATGACCACACAACAGCAAAAGAATTCAGGAAATAAATTGTGCAGACACAGACTACACTTTTTATCTAATTGGAAGTATCTTCCCACTAATAAGTCTTGAAACAGTACCTTAGTTTTATCTTGGAAGAGCTCAAAGGTGCTAAAACTGGTTTCAAACCTATGTAAAACTGATGGACGTAACTGAAATTCATTGAACAGGTCAGTCCTACCTCAAACACACACAAACAGACAGAGGGGGAAAACTGCAAACCCTAGGTTATTTTTCAGTGAGCTGCTACTTAGCAAGTCACTTCCCAATCCAAAACACTACCTTCCCTACCAGTTAATGAGTTTTTAAGATTGTCCAATTACCAATATCTGCAACCTTAGAGAAAAGAAATGGTTAAAGCAGACGAAGAAAATTAATTTCACATACAGAATAGCATCTGCCCAGTTTACGTAGGAAGAATAGTATTACACATTGACATCTCTTGCACCTATGCAGTTGTATTATATTCTGTTAGAGAAAACCTTTTCAGAGCATTTTTACTTTTGTGGTAAAGGCCTTCACATATACACAGAACTTAATGACTATTCTCTTATTACCTTTTCTGTTGAGGTAACGTAAGAATTATTTTACTGCTGGGTTATAAAAAGGTGAATTTAATGCTAGAAGTGTCAACTTTGTCCTAAAATATACTACCTAATTTCTGAATAGCTAATTTGGTGGTCTTAATCTTACCCATTCCAGAAGCAAGCATTACAAAAGCCAATCTCAGAACTGTTTTAAAGCAGTTATAGGACATGTAATTCAAAAAATACAAGAAATACAGCTGACTTCCAACCAACATCCTAGCATGAAAACAACATGGACACTGGTTAGTGGCTTTAGTGCCATTCAGATGAGAAAGGGAGGAAGTAAGTATAAAGGTTTCTATCTCATATTTATTGATATTAGACAAATAAATTGAAGCTTAACTTACAACACCTGTAACACATCATTTCTGTTTGGTACAATTCTTCCCAGAACCTACTGTTAAATAGATATTTTATATAACTACAGTGTGCTTATAAAACGTGTTCTTCAGAATGAATGTTGTAAAATCTTTTTAAAATCTAAATTAATGGCTGCTAAATAACGAGTATCCTTCATTACCAATGCTTGAAAAATATGTGAAAGATGCAAATCTCTGTCACGCATCATTTCAAAGCCAGCCCAGTCAGTGAAATATGTTTCCGTATATTCCGTATATTCCGTTTATAAAACTTCTGGACTAGTTATGTTTACCAAGCAGTGCACGATCCAAACAGCAGTCAACACTGGCACATAATTCTATTTATTTAGTACCAAGTAATGCAGGCATTGTAAAACATTGTTTGAACATAAAAATGCCCAATGGACTGAAATCAATGCACTGGAGAACTAACCTTCGATGGTGACCTCGACCTCAGGATCCTCACTTGTTTCTGAAGGGGCATGCTGGGAAGAATCTGAAGGGGGAAAAACAGGACTGCTGAATGATGGTCACAGAAAAGATTTTTAAGCAAACACTCTGTGATTCTGTATTTAAACTAACACTTGTCAAAGAAGCCCCCTGGCTCACTGAAACGTTTTGCACAGTGTGCAACAAAAACAGAACCAAAGATATTTTACCATAAGCCTTTAAGGAATTCTAGACAAAGGTAAGGAGGTGGGGATTATACTTGCTAAATTGTGTGTACAGTAGTGAAGAGTTGGTGTTAATGACAGTGGGAAATTCCTTATTCTTGGCTTAATAGGATTAATACAATCATAAATATTTTCCCTTTGTTATCAAGGGTTACTGAAAATATAAACAAAGGCTGTGTGCCCCTACAGAAGATATATGTCTTTACAGACTCACAGTTGTTGCACTATAATGATTTCTATAACAGGCTGCAAGGCCAGCAGTGAAAAACGAGAGGGAAATTCATAAACACAATGCTTTCGTTGGGGCAGTTCGCACCAACATAATAAACAGGATTAGGCTTATCAATACTCAGTGGGAGAAAGAGCAATTTGCATTTAACTGCAGTAAAGTTTAAAAAAGTGAAGCTAATTGTATTGGAAACTATTTCAAAACTAAGTAGCAATGTATGAAGGAATATATTTTAATTATTCTGGCAGAGTAATGCTGCGCTTGTGCATTTTGAAGAGTATCTTCTTTCAGATCTCTGTAAGCTGGAAGTATGATATCACTTTGGGAGCAAGTCTGAAGGAATCTCTGTTTCAAAGGCTCTTCACGTGATGTCATGTGGAGTAGAGATTCAGCAGTATCTACTGAGACACCTTAACTGGAGTCTATTCAAACTATGTCAAATATATCATCTAGTTCATGGAAAGCATAGTATGAAGTTTTGATCTAATTCAGAGTGAGTGCTGGGTAGGTAACTAGCAAATGCAAAGCACAACAAAAGGAAAGAATTAGGACGTAATGGTCATTCAGTAGATGTGAACATAAAGTATGGTCATAAAAATAACTACCACATCAACTGATCTCTTAGAGCCTTTTTTGAGAGCATTGGAAAAGTTTAAAAAACCAAAACCAAACCAAACAACTTTTGGAAATTTAAGAACAGCCACAAAGACTGGCAAATGGTCCATCTAGTCCAGTACCAAATCCCTGAGAAATTGTCATAATTAAGAGAAACATGCAAAAATGTCAAAGCAGATGGTAACAAAGTTCTGGAAGAAAACTCCCAGATAGGACATTTCTTCTTAAGTCATATTAAACCAACTGGTTTAAACTCTAAAGTAAGTTTTTTTAAACAAAGTATTATCATCACTAGGTATTTTTTGATCTTAGCTCCTAGGCAGCAGCCTTCTTCACAGTTCTAAATGTTGTCATTCGCTGGCACCGTCTCCAGTTTCTCAAACGTGATTTCATTCAGTTTAAAACAATTTATTTTGATGCACATAACCTTAACTTTCTGATTGCTGAATTTCAATCACACCATGCTCCCTACTCATCCAATGTCACTAAGACCTCAGACACCTTTATCAGCTACAGCTAATCTCGGAGATTCCAGGCACACGTTAATTTTGCCACTTCCTTTTTCACCATCTTGTCAAGGTTACTGGAGGGGAAAAACAGCGAAAACCCCCAGTGATATACACCAACAGATAAGTTTGTACATCCCTCTAATGTTTTCCTCTGCAGAAAACAATCATTTCTGCAAATCTGCATCACAGTCTGTAGCTTTCAGACAAACTTTTGGAAGAACTTCAGATGCCTATTATATGTATTTCTTTAATAATAGTTAGGATATACACCAAAGGCTTCATAAAATCCAAACACTGTCATCAATTTTTCTTTCTTACTCATTTTTGTGAGGATTAGCAATAAATAATTTTATTTGACAGAATCCAGACAAGACTGCCTATGCTGTATGCCTATTTAAACAACAAATGAAATCACTACCTATAGACCTTTTCATAAATACTAACCTTCATGAACAACAGGTTTATTCTATTCAGCAAAATCAGGGTGCAACTTTCAGCATATCTCTTACAGAAACTTGTAAAGGAGATCAGCTTTAAGAAAAGGGTGTGTAACAACACCATATTCTGACACAAAGGGCCACACTCAGCATCTGTAGCTATAAAATTCTACACAGTCAAAAACAAAGCAGAGTCAGAGTCTTGGTCGTTTCATATCACACTTCCCTTTCCTCGGGCTCTCTCTTCATGGTGAGGCATTATGCTTAGGAAAATAGAGTACCTAGATTATTTCTTCTCAAGTAAGTAGAGTTAATAGTACAGTCAGCAAGAGCAAAGAACTATATTCACCTTTATCAAGAGAAATGCTTTTAAATTTCATATAATGGTACCCTTAACTATGGTGATATTTACCTTCAAAGCAAAACTAATGAGATTTGCAAGAATGAGTATTGCTGCTAGCTTAACTTGGCCTTAAAATCCAAAAAATACTCATAACTCAGGTTTGAGAGTCAGGTACCTAGAATGAACTAGCTGCAGTACTTTTAACATCATGTCAAAGCATTAAATGTTGGGTGACAAGCACCTTACAAATGCAATTTATGATTTAAAAGAATGACGACTCCCATCACAACTTGCTTGTAGTAAGCCACAGAGTGGCATGATTTGGGAGATTAAAAGCAAAACAAAACAAAAACCCCAGAAGTCAACCTTGTGGAAATGTGGAAAGAGAATGGTTGGAGAAGATGTGCAACTTAATTAAAGTGCCATCTTTTCAAATATTTCTGTAAAATAATTTCCAGTCATGTTAAATTATTCTCATGAAAAACATTTCATATCTCTAACTTTGTACTGGTATTTCCACATCTGTTCCTTCACTGCAGTCGGAACCCTGGTGGCTTCCTTTAGACAAATATAAAGTAAAAAACATACCGTAATAAAAACACAAAAGGAACTTTTAACATCGACTATTCAAAGCAAGGATTTTTGTAAGGGAAAATTCCAGAACTATAACGTTCACATGAACAACATACAGAAGGCTCAATTTCTGAATCTTAAATTCATGACAGCAGGAGCACTCGTGACATTATAAAGAAATTCACAGGTTGAAATGCAGATCAGTATTTTCTAGTGTTTGCAAATGGACAAACCAGTATTTTTAATACAGACTGTAAGAAGCTGAAAAGAAATGTACAATTTTTGAGTAAATTTATTTCGGATATTGTTCATATATAGTAAGTGTATGAGGAGTAAGGAACTCCTTCCACTAAACACAGACTTACCATATACTTTGTTCTGTATATAGCCATTCACCTCACACACAGCTGAAAGAAAATGATCAAGTTGTACTCATAATACATAAGCAGAACTTTACTAAACTTTATAACCAGTTATGAAACAGACTGAATTTCATGATCAACCTGATGTTCCTTTTTGAATTTAGGAAAGAAAGAAGTGAGATTCTCTTCTGTATGTCTCTCTACTTGGACACCTGAAAATCAAGGCAACTTAAATTTTCGCTTCTGTTGAAGTTTAAGTTCCAATACCCTAACTCTTACTTCAAATCAAGGAAGCAGAGCTTTGAGAAGTACAACTCACACATTCAATTCCCAAAACAGATGTGAGAAAAATACAACTAAAAGATTTACCTGTGTAACTTTTTGCAAGAGCAATTTTTTCATCCATCTCTGATGTTTCGGAAGGGCCTGCTTGGGAACAAAGAGAATGGCTTTTAAATTGTGTCTCACAACAAACACATTTTCCCAGTCCATAGAGGAATCTGCCAAATAACTCTTAACTTCATATATCATATAGAATTTCATACTTTCTGTAATGTTGAACTTAGGAAAGACCATGTGAAATACTAAGAATACATAAATCCTTACTCATCCAGTTCAACAGAATAAAAAAGTTGAGGGGCTAATGGCAGGGGTGTGCATTTCTTGGACTACTGAACTGTCAGAGACTCATGCAGAACAGCAGGTTTTCCAATTTTTTGGTGTTAATAAACTAATTTTAAAACATGAAATGTTGATGGTTCTGCCTTTTTCCAATGAATTTTTAATCAGCTAAATCTTCCTGTTTGTTAAAATTTGTATTCCTAGGGAGTCCTTTTTGACTTTAAAATTTCTACCTACATTAAATAGACAAATTCAGAAAGATTAAAATAATTTACAACACTTCAAGGTTGTTTGCTTTTCATCACAACAGCTCTTTTGATGGCTATATATGGACTGCTTTAAAAAGGCTGCTGCAGAAAGCAGCACACAAATGACACTTAAAAGACTAAATTAACACCCCTAAAATCCTACTGCTTAACACTTTGGCACTCCTGCAGTTATACTGAAAGGAGTGAACTGCTTGCAGCACAAATAGCTTCACGCTGACCAAGAGATCGTTCTATACCACAGAGATAGGTATATAAAACTAGCCTATGTGTGGCATACAGGAATGTATAGGACTCAGTGGAACTGAAGGATTTGGACTAATTGTTCTGTGTAAATCAAATCATTGCTGTGTTCATTTGCAAAAGCAATCTGCAGAAGATCATATACCACCCCCCACCCCCCACCCAAAATTATGGCCATTTAGAGGTACGTTTAAAAGTGTATCAACAACAAATACTAACAGCTTCACAACAGAAAAATCTACTGTTAACTAATAAGGCAAGTGAAATATTTCAAACTCATTATTTCATATACACAGTAAGAAAAGATAGAAAAGAATGTTGTCACAATCAGACTTTATGAGTATTTCAGTCAATTGAAAGTACATGTACAGCATCAAATACTGTGAGTTATTAAAGAAAATTACTATTTAGGGATTAAATTTTAAGAAGAAAAACATAACTATTAGGTGGTTACAATGTTTGGTTTAGACAGTTCTGCCTAGTTTGATTGCTCAGATTTTCAAAGGGATTTTAAATTAACAGGATTTCAAGTGAGGAATCTATACAAGGTTCTTTGTTTTACATGCATTTCTTTCAATAAGTGCTGTTTTAAACTGCTCCTGCCACTTTTTCTTTGCTGGGGCATGTTTGAGTTTTTTTCTATTTGTCTCTAACTCAGAAGAGCTCTCTGACTTGGTTCAAAACACGGCTCCAGAAAGTGGTACTGGCACAGTCAAGACCATATTCCAAAGATGGGAAAAAGCAAGGGGAGGCAAAGAAGCAAGGCAGAAGCCCAAGACATCAGTGGTGCTCTAGGCCACACGAGAAGAAATTCTCATCCAAATAGTGTGATTTGCAACTGTTATGGGCAAGTGGGAATAGAACACAGCCTCCCTGGCTGTGCTGGAAAACAACTCTGTGGACTAAATTTGCTTTTATTTAAATCAGCATATTCAGTGTACGCAACCAAACGGGAGTGTCATTTCCTAAGAACTCTTCAGAACATGCAATTATTATAATTCATAATGCACTGACACACAGAATCATGCATCCCATTACAAGCAAATATCCTATTATAAGCACGTATTTTTGTGTTTACTCCTTAATTCAAAAATCCTGACAGGATTGTTTTACCTACATACTCTGCAGTAGTCTCTATATTGCATTATCTGCATGCCAAACACATGCTGTCACACAATAAAAAAGGAAAAATAGGAGTCTTTGACATATTCAAACTTGAAGAAAGATTTCTCTAGTTAAAAAGATACACTTACTAGGCTTACAGCCCTTGGGATTAAGCACAGAGAATTAAATTCCTTCATTGTTAATGTCAATAAAAAACTACATATACATGCAGTAAACACATCAGATTTTTTAAAAGTGACCCACACAGATTATTTTATGAAACCTGAAGCTCTTTTTTTTCATATTATGAAGTTTTGACAGAAGAAAAACAGTACGAAAAAATTGTTTCAGGAATTAAAAAGTGTAAAACAATATACTCTGCTAGCTTAATTTAGTAAAGACTAAAAAATTAAATTTAAAAGAAATCTGAAAGTTCTGCCACCAGGAGATATTAACAAAAGAACATACAATTCCACTTTACTGCATTCATGCACATAACAGGCAGACACACACACATCACATAACTAAGAAGAGCAAAAAACAAGTACAGTGGTAACCAGATCAAAAGAAGTTCCATCTAGGAATAAAAGTATGAGGAAATCACAAAAAAGAAAAAAAGAAGAAAACACAAGATAGAAGAACTTAATTCCACTGCAGCAGGTAGGATACAGGAGGAAGGATGGACACAAAGGTGGGAGATTTAATTACTAAAACCACAGGACACATTAGAAGTAAAATCTTGCAGTATGATTAAGTCTTGGAGTCTGAACTTAAGATTTGTAGGCAGAGCTAAGCAATATCACCTTGTATCAGAAAAAGCACCAAGTATGCTCTTCAGCTAAGAGCCAACTCTGCTATGCAACAAAGACACTTAGAAATTCTGTAACACTCAGACTAAAATTTGGTCTTTCATGAGCAGATAAATACCTAACAGACCACTGCACCTAAATCGTGTACTTGGGCTGGGGTTCTGCATTGAAGTGAAACCTTTGTTAAAGATGGCTGTTGCCATAAATCATAAAATTCTGTAATGCCTGTTACAAATATGTAATTTTTCACATTCTAACAATTCCTTTAAAAACAAGAGTAGATGTCATTACCTCGACAGTCAGAGCTATTCCTTCTGCTTACCCACCAGCAAACCATTTACTTACACTGAGATCAAATCTCTCAGCCTCAGTTTCTAATGGATTATGTCCTAACGCTACACAGACAAACCTGTGCCACTTGGCAGAAGGAATGGATTTATCATCTCATGGATTAGCATCGTCAGCAATGCTCACTTTTCTGGTCTTTTTTTTCGCTACACAGATGTTAGCAACGTGAACAATATGTAATTACCAGGGTAATATCAGAATGCCTTTAGGAAGCACAACATTGTGCTTTCTTGTTTTCTCAATATATTCTCTGCAATTTCTTGGTTTGAGACAGTATCTACACACTGAGTCTTACATTATGGCGGTTAGAGTTCTGCCAGGCTAACTTTACAGTTTTAGCCCCATTAAAATGGACATTACTTCTAGTATTCTGGGACATCGCCAAAGGACAAATATTTTGTTGTTAGAGACATACTAAAAGACATTCATGACTTTCAGCGTTCCAGAGTGAGAATAAAAACACAGTTTACATTCCCATTTGGGGCTTTTTTTCCAGCAGAAAATATTTTCAATCTCATTTGGTTTTGGATAAATGTCCTGTATTTTAACTGCCTCGCTAACATTTCCAGAAATTCCAAAACTGATAGCACTGTTCAACCACATGGTGTTTTAAAGAGAAAAGACGTTAGGCAGTTTTTACTCACTTCTGAGTGGTTTATGAGCTAAACGAGTCAGTTCATTAGACAACAGTTTGTAAGCTGAACCAGCCAATTCACAGGATGCACTGCTTACAGCTTTTTCCTTCTGCTTTCCATTCTCTTGGTTTTAACTTCAAGGCATCAGTGGTAACTGAAGACTTGCATCCACAAAATTGACAAGATAACATGCCTCTTTCAGGAAATGTTTGATCCTTAGTCAGCAATTTACTCGGTTCTGCATGGGCTATGTCTCAAAAAAGCTTGCTTTACTGTGTGCTGATGAAGAGGACTGGAGGTGGTACATATCCTCAAGAAATTGTCTTCATGTATTCCTGCTTCTTTGTAAATTAAAAAAAGTATAGCTCTTAATTCTATTCTGTTAATTCATTCAGAGCTGTTCTCACTCTGGCACTGATATTTTGATCTCATTTTTTCCATCAAAAGCCATCAAGATAGCCTGGGTCTTGTGGACAGCCTTCTATTAAGAAGCCAAGATACCTATCTGTTACTGTCCAATACATTTATGCATCAGCTGAACAGTCCCTCACTTGCAAGGAAACTGGTATAGAAGCCAGGAGGATTTACAGGCACAAAGATGTATTTGCATCAACACAGTACAGAACACATGCCCTGCTACTTGGCTTTAGGATCAGTCCTTGCACATACTCAGCTGGTCTGGACATCTGGCAGAAATGAATGCCGGACTCTCTGCAACAGCCACGGAAATATTCCCACAGCATATTAATATGCTTAATCTAGAAGTACAAACCACAGTTCAAGGACTAAACCACATTTTAACTACTAAACTAAGGAACAGCATTTTAACTAACATTTCTTTTCATAAGAGCCTTAATAACTGGTATTTATAGGTAAGGTATATGCAGGAATATCAACTATGATAGCTGGAATGCTCCAGTATGCATTATTTAGTCCTGCAGGTCTCTGCTCAGTCCTCTTCCTCATTTAGTCAATAGTCAAAATCTGGACTTTTCTTCCAGAACAGGTTGTCTTTGATATAACCCAAAGCATTTAACACTGCAGTGACCTTCACATTTGTCCAGGATACTGGAAAAAAAACCCACACACTGCCATACTGCTAGTGCCCACTGATGGAAAATTGCCTCTAATACTCTGTCAAAACACCCACATGAAGTTTTTGATGGCTAAAGTCCCTATTTCCCAGTCTTCTCACTGTGTACTCCTAAAACATTTCTAAATTTAGTAATACAGTATTAACTCATGGCAACATCCAAACACTGCAACATTCTATGAGATAACAAGAGATGAAAAGAACGTCCACCTACAGGTATAATTTTTCCCCCTGTTTGATTAACAGGAGAATTTTCCACACAGCGCTTTGGTCAGCATTACAGATTTGTGAGAGGAAGCAAACACTCAGAGAAAAACAATAACCATGAAATTTCACCAGTAAATCATTTTCTCCAGGAAGCCCCAGGCACATTGCTGTTCTTTAACAGTTAAGTTGTTTCTTCTCATAAATCGATAACCCCAGCTTTTGCTGTAGGGTATTTTTAGTAAGAACTATGACCCTAGCCATTTTCTTTATTTTGCAGCACGTCTCTACAAAGGCAATGCTTGGGCAGACTTGCGTCATTCCTCAGGAACACACCTCAGGATAACTGCACTTTTTTAAGGTTCACTTCTCTGCACAGCAACATCATGCACACACAACCCCCTATATTCCTCTTGAATTTATAGCTCTCTGCACTTTGTACAACCTTTGGCTTGAATCTGAGTGGTAGCAACTCGAAGAAATGAAGGGGAAGCTGCTTTACTCTGGGGAAAGCAGCATGACCGGACACGGTAACATCCCTTTCAGCTCACAGCACCCCATCACTTCTACCAACACACTCGGTTTTGTCTGGTTTCAAACGCAAGTTTGGAGGACTACACTGGGAGGGGAGAAACGGGGAGTTATTAATTGAGCACCATTTTATCTGAAAGAAATATATAGTGCTCTTTAGCAATCAGAAGATTTAAATTTAGGGTTCTGTAAAAGACAGCAGAAATTCCTCCCCCCAAACCCACATTGCTTAGACTTCACTATGGAAACATATTGTATAAATGGGATTTTTTAGCTCAGACAAACATGCTGCAGTACAATGGGTTACTATTTTGTAAGGAAGCGATTTCAGTACAGACTCTCTTCAAACAGCATTGGATTACACTTTGGGCTATTGGCCAAATTCTGACATTGTTTTTATGCATGAAATGGAAAGCCACAAGAGGCTGAAAAGCAAAAAGATGACAGGACTTGGCTTTGGAAGGAACAATGATTAGGTTGTCTCTAAAAAAGTATCTATTTTTACTACATTATATCATGCCTGTAACCACCCCCATCCCCTGAGGCTAGGCAATGTACAAATATGAAGAAAAGATAATCCTAATACCAGAGAATTCACCTTTCCAATTCTGAACTTGAGTGGTGACATTTTGCTATGCTGTACAGTTAAGATCTCTCTGAACAGTGCTCGTACACTACTTGAGACATGCCAGTACGAGAATATTGATTCTACAATCCTGTAGTTAGTTACTAAAGCACATTAGAAAATAATCTCAAGAATCTTTGTGTCTAAACATGCACAAAAATGTTATCTCAATAATATATAATATTACAAAATGAAAGGATGTGCTGTTCTGCACTTCATTGTTGAACATGCAGCTATCCTTCAGAGATGCGTGGCAGCTTGCCTGTGTTCCTCTGTATTGCTCAATTAACCTAACGACAAATGCAAACAGGCTGAAATAATAAATTTAGGGTTCTAGTTATTTTATATTGCCATTTATAAACATAACTTCTTAATTACTGTTCATTTCAACCTACAGAAATAATGATTTCTTTTCTCCAAGTTGAGGTTAACTTGCAGTATTAACTGGATTCGTAGAGATGAGGCAACCAACTGAGAGATACCTTAAAACATACACAGAGCCCGAGCCATGGACCTCAGTAATGTTGTTACGCTTTGTCTATATAAACTTTCAATACAATTTTGACACATATTGGTCATTCCACACAGGAAAAGTGATTGATACACTATAAAAGTTACTGAAACTTTAAAACTAAAGAAAAGATGTGCTCTAGACAGCATTGTTATTATGGTTTATTTCCTGTTTAAAGAGGTCACTGGAATTAAGAGTGGAATAACAGACCCTCAGAAAAAAACCCAAGCAGTTCAAGACTCACGGAATTTCTCCTTCAGCCCACACATATGGGTATGCTGAAGTTACACTTTTGCTCTTTTGGTGTTCTTCAGAATAAATGATAGCCACCATGGAAATACTGTATCATTGCACATTTAATGACCAAGAATAAGTAAAAAGAGAGGCACAGAGAGAGCAACACTTAAGCAATCAACCCTTTCATGAGATAAACACATATGAAAGTTAGTATCATTACCTGGAATATTATATTGATAATAGTCAGGATCATCCGATTCCTCCTTCACTGTTACTGTTGCCATTTCCAAAGCAACTCCTGTAGAAGCAACAAAGGAATCAAAAATAGAAACTAATAACCAGATTCTTAAAAAAAAAAAAAAAACAAAAAACAACAACAAAAAAACCCAAACCCAAACAAAACACCCACCAAGATCCTAACTGGACTCTACTCAAAAAAAGAAAAAAAGAAGGATTTTCAGGTGCTGAGACACTAAGCAACTGTTGAGTTAAAACAACCTGCTGGTTTCTTATGTTTCAATTTAGTCAGCACCAGAAGGGATTCAGGATTAAATGCTTCCCTACAAACTAGACATCCTTGAAAATAATACCTTGGATCTTAAGAATTTAAAAAAATGGTCTCCTTCCTTTTTGCCCATTACCACAGCCAGAAAAAAAAAAAAAAAGAAGAAAATTATTTTATCACTCATTGTGCTGAAAGTAATTCTAGACCTACTCCTGCTCACTCCTCTGTACAGCCAAGTTCAGATACGGTCTGCATCAAACTGTGCTGCTGATGGAGCAACACCAAAGGTCCTCAACTGCTCTTGGCTTCCTTCAAGTGAAATATCCCCTCCGTAAGCCTTCACAGCATTCCCTAAAATGTTTTCAAACCATGCCGACAAAAGGAGACTTACTTAAAATACCTAGAAAGCAGCACTGGAAAGAGTCTGGGACTGACTTGATGCAAAGCTCAAGTCAACTCTTCACACACATTAAGCTAAATGTTAACCATGCGGGGTTCCCCAAGCCACAAGTTTAAAGTTGCGAAGCATAAAGAACTAGAGCAAAAAACGGGACTAAATATAAAAACTTAATTCTTATACAAAATGCTGAGCAGTGTAGCCCAACCCAACAAAAGGGAAAATCACCAGCTTATCTCTAAGCACACCTGTCATCTCATTGGCTTTAATGGGATTATTCATGCCCTTACCTCAAAGCATACACTTAAGCATTGCTCTGCTGCAGATCACAGTGCCTTGCAGGATCATGTCCTACTTGCAGGGGAACTTAGGAATGCTTGGGCATTTTTTTTTAAACAACAAATAATGCCTTTTGCTATTTATTATTTATTTATTTCCATTTTAGCTAGAAAATTGACATTCTGTCATTTTTAATATTTTAGTAATATTAACAAATAAGGTGTTTTTCGCTCCCCATTAGGGACAAAGTGATCTTTAATTAGAACAAAATAAAAACCAAAGGAAGATCTTCTGCACTTAAAACTAAAATATTTACAAAGATAAATTACTTCAGTGTACAAAATTTTACAAATCTCCTCCTTCTAGAAATGGAAACATTTCGCTAAGATTCAATACTTGATAAAAAATCCAATTGAAAAGCGGACAATTTTAAGGAAAGAAAAAGTTTTTCTTCTCAGAAAGGATGGGTTTTTGCTGCTTTTTTTCTTGGAGCTTCCTATCTTCGTTTAAATTCAGCCTTCTGAACACAAACGGACCATTTTTTTGCAAATAAGGGCAAAATTTTGAACATACCAGAATCCTCATTTGGTTCCGTTTTCACTTGAATAGGAGGACAACTACAAAAAGAAACAAATCAAGCACATTGACATTATAAAAAACAATTATCACATTTTTGGAAAGTTCCTCAAGCTTTATAGGCTGTCAAGGAAAATCAATCTCCCAGTACTTTTTTCCAACTAGGAACATAAAAGTAAAAAGCCCCACATATTGGCTTATCTGATTTATCTCAAGGGAATTGCCAGGATTCTCCTATCCCTACATTTTCAGGACATATACAATATTCAAAGCATTTTTACCATTTAATGAGAAGCAAACTCAGAAGCACAGAAAACTGATCCCTGTTTTCACATTAACCAATTTTTTATTTATTCCAGATATAACCTCTTCATTTACTAACAAAACAATTTTAGTTTTTTTAATCGAGGAGGGGGAAGGAAGCAACATTACATCTGCTCCCCATTGCTGCCGTATCATAAAACATGACAAACTTATCCCTGACTGACAGACTATGAATTAAGAACACTCATTGGGCTAATTAAACCGAGGGGAAACTTTGCCATCTGTTTAATTCATAACAGTTTCCCCACAAATAATGGTCAAAAGAAAGAGAAAATTCAGCTTCCATGCTTTTTATAATCCCAGGCAAGCAAAAGTTATCCAAAGGTCAGATGGACAGAAAAAGCACATTAAGAGAAAGATAAACTATATGAAAATACATAGTTGATATAAAAAAACACATTATTTTAAATTCACCTTCCACCTGGAGGTATAATTGAATGTGAAGGATCTGTCATATGAGCTCCTGAAAGTTAAAAGACAATCTTTGAATTTCCCGTACCCCGTTTACCTTAAATACAAATTGAAAATGTAACATTGATTTCATGAAGCAAAAACCTGTTCACATTTTACAAGCATATGTGCATTATTTCTGTATTCACAGATATGAGGGAAAGATCTCATTAAACTGCTTCATTAATCTAGAAAGCAACATGAATATAAAATTACTTCAAATGTGCATTTCACCATGCTTTTCACTGCTCTCTTTCATGATGTTAAGTGAAAATCTTGGGAAATAAAGGTAAACAAGTCTTTCACCTAAACTCTGCTAAAAGAAAATGGATAGTTTTACAGAGATTCAGCTTAGTCCTAAATTACAGCTAGAAACAAATAAATTATGTTTTTAGAATGTCATTTACCACACTGAAAACCTGCCTTGCATTTTCAATACAAATATATTATTACCAGAATCTCTGTAATTTCCCCACTCTCTAGTCTTCTTACTAGGCACAGGCAACACATTTCTAATTTTATTAATCCAGCATTGACTTCTGGCTGTTTGACCTGAGAAAGTGAAACTTTTCTTTTTTGTCTACATTCCTATAGAGATTGCTTCATCCTCTTCATAAAACAAATCCTCACATATATGAATTTTCAAGTAAAGCAACATGATCCCAAGAAAGGAACAGAAGAAAGGATTTCTTCTAAGCTAGAAGTGAATCTTTGTGGAGTTTTTTAAAACTCACTCTAGCTCAGATTTTTTTAATACATAGAAGCTTTCATAGGAAGTACAACACCTAGCCACTTCAGAAGATTAAATCAATTTTTAAAATGAGATATAAATGCCCAAATCAGCTATGTATTGGAACACAGAGCACTGCAAAGTCTTAGCATCTTCTAAAAATGCAATGCAGTCCATCAGTTCACTTCTCCTTTCCCTAGGATACTATCCAATTCACATTAAATTTAAATTCAGTAAAAGGAGGAGGATGCAATAGAACAAATTTTATCTCTAATTAGTTGCTCATGGAAGAACACATAAAGGAAAAGGTTATAGTTCCATAAGTAAGGCAACTCGCAGTCTAGGATTTTCTGCAGTTTGCCACTTTATCCACATGACCAAATCTTGTATCTATATTGCTATTTAAACTAAAATTCTGATCTGTTTCTGTTTAGTCTGAGTAAGTAGTAACTTACCTAGGTGTTTCTTTGGCTCTAGGAAAGGCCTGTGTGGAAATATGGAAAGAAAAACCCATAGCTTTAGCAAAGACATCATGACCTACTTGGTAGCGTAACACTAAAGAGAGAGCAGTACTGTTTAAGAAAAACAGGCTGCAATGTATTTAATTAAAAATTAAAATTAATTGGACTTAATTTAAGTACAAAACCAAAGTGGACAGACCAGCACAAGACAGAGCAAATAACCTTTTGATGGTAAATGAGATCCCTGACTTGTTTTCCAAAATCCACTTCAGGGTTGAAACATCGTAATTTGCTGGATGTTTAAATGCAAGTCCTTCGGGCAGGCCCTGCACTACCACAGCAGACTGGTCCCTCTGAATCTTCTCATATGGCACAGGCACCACTGTTGACTTTCCTAAAGCTTTACCTAGGAAAAAAAAATAAAAAAGAGATCACTTTGAGGTCAAGAGCGCTCAAGTTAGCAAAAGGACAAGCCCCTTATAAAACTTTTTACTTTGGAGAGGATTGGAGCAAAAGTAAGGTGCAGATGCAAATCTCTACAGGAAACCAAGTAGTGCTCACATTAATGTGCACTGGAACCCACTGAGATACAGCAGCTTTCTTGAAAGAAAACTAAATGGGCTGTGCTGTGCAATAATGTCAAACCATATCCCACAAAACACATCAAGAAGAAAACTATCCAATATATGCATATGTTTTAGAATCAGCTACTAAAAGTTAAACTCACCACCTTAACAGCAGTATAGTTGGAAGGCTAAGATCATGCAGTACTTCCCTCCCAACTGGAATAAAAATATAGAAATCCAGAACAGCTATTTAGAAGACTTCAAAGCACCCACCATAGCAAAAGCAGAAAAAGTCCTCCACAGACTTTCTGAGAGCTTCCAGTTCCACAATATCCACTGTCAGTCTGTTTACAGGTGGTATACTTTTTGTTTTCTGCAGTTCTGCAGCCCTCTCCTCTTCTGTAACACCTGGCAATTAGTTATAAAAATAAGACAAAAATAAAATAGTAAGTTATTAAAACTCCCAGTACCTAGTCCCTCCAGTTAGGCTACAGACACTCAAGAAGGAAGGATTCCTGCCAGAAAATCATAAGAACTTATTTGCCATAGAAGCAAATGCACTTATCTATGTACGTAAGCAATGAGTAAATTTAAATTTACACCAAAAATAATATATCTTCCTTATCACCTCAGAGGTGTAAGAATGATGAATTAAGAGACACATCCAAGCAGGCTTTTTTTTTTTTTTTTTCCCCATGAAGAGGTAGAAAACACTATTAATCTCAGGACACTTTTTATGGAAGGGATTTGACTTCTGCCACAACAGCTCCTGTATCTTTCAAAAGACATTTTAAGTACACATCTCTTGTCAACGAATAGGAGGAGTTGCAAACAAGGCATCATCATGCAGAACAGAAGATTTCAGCCCTACACCTTGTTCTAGACTCTGAGCAAAAGTCATTGCAAAAGGAGTGAGGTAATAACAACACTCCAATATTAAGAAGCAAACAGAAGTGACTGTTTGAGGTGGCAGCCTTCCTTTCTTATTGTTCAGTCCTTGCAAAGATTTACTCAGAATCATCCAGCAAAAATAGGGGAAAACATCAGAGATATTCTGCATATGAAAGATAATGCAAGGGAGATCTGTGTTCCTATGTGCAAGAGAAGTACTGAAGTTGTGTCATGATTTCACCATGAGCAAGCACAGTGGTAAGCCTGAAACACTGTGATTTACATTACCAGTACTGCTGGCATCATAATTCTTCGCTAATACAAGAAAACAAACATCAGTCTGAACAACTGATTACAAATGGGTTGTGAAATGAGCTGAAGCAGCAATGCTTTTAGTAAAAACACATTTATAATCTTAAAAACTTGTATCTTCATTTAAAAGAGAATCTCCTCCTCTACAGATCACACATCTGCTTTGTGCCCTGGAAACCCACCTCCATGCAACATAAAGCTCTCCAGCTCTTCAGGCCTGAAACCTTTGCTTTCTCTGCAATATGACACATAATAAAAAAATAATGCGAATATAGGTATATAGTAATATTCCACAACACAGGTGCTTAACTAATGACAGCTTATAAGGTTTGCCTGCAGACTCGGGGATAAGAGACATCAGTTTCATTTATAGCTACCTGCAATGTCGCTTTTTGGGTGGGTTTTTTCCACATAAGAGACTGATTCACTGAAAACGCCTTTATTACCAGTTCTCAAAAGTGTACCTACACTTTCTAAAAATAACAAGCAAAACAAAAAATAAGATGCCAACACTGCTTACTTCCCATTAAAATGAAAAGCAGACAAAAAGATAGAAATTTTCCTTCTTAACTAGAAGAGAAATCCATATAGTTTTTTATTACAGGATTTTTATCCATTTTCTGAAGCTCACATTATGCATCTGCCTCCCTAATCTCTCCCACATTTCTTGGCCAATTTCAATTAAGTCTGACAAACAAGATCAAGTCTCAAACACAGTAAGATTTATAAGAGGTCTGCACAACTGATCAAACCTAGCAGCCATTCACCTCCTTCTGGCAGTACTGATGGACTCATCTCCACTTGCTGGAGGTTACACACCTTACAGGCTCTGTCGAAGTCCTCGCTACAATTACTAGAGCACCCAGCAGGATTCAGGCTACATTTGGGAGGGGATGCCTGGGACACGTGCAACAAGACCTGGCAGGGAAGAGGGACAGGGGGCTGTATTTACAGGGTAAATGGCTCAGGAAGGGTGAGGAATGGTTATATGGTAAAAGAATTGCATTCTGCACAGTTGGGAGTATACTGCAGGATTAGTCCAGTTACTCTGCAAAAATTCCGGATTCAGAAGGATGACAATGACCCAACTCCTAACAATCCTCATTTTGCACTGAGAGTCCACATATGGTGGAGTGTCTCTTATCTTCTTGTACCATCCAGGTATTTCGGTTATTCAGAACACCCTTCCCTCTTACCTGTCCTGATCAGCAGCAGATTGGGTTTGACAGCCCAGCCTACCACTTGGCTGGAAAAGGAATCTCCCAGATGTCACCATTCTTATAAAATCAATAGGCTGCTTTAAAGTAAAAAAAGCCCTCTTACAAAAAATTTTATGACAGAACAAATAAAGGAATACTTGAAACGATCAAATTTTAATTTGGCAATTTTTTCTTGTTGCATGGCAGCAATTAGATAGCTACACCCTGACCTCTGTGTGGACAGATGCTATAGCCTCCTGCCTTAAATAGATGCTGTCATGCTTATAAATTGATGAAGAGAGTTACAGCTCAGCAGTGTTATACTACACTTATTCTGAAGGTCCACTAAAGCATGGTTTGAGTGCAGCAGACTAAAATAGGCCATAAAGCACGTCTGTCTTCAAAGCACCTGACTCAGGGGTAAGGGGAAAGCTGCTGTTTGGAGGAGGCAGGCTGCATTTCTCCTGCAGAGCAGAGCACACCCCACTGGGTCATGCTGCAGACGAGTGACAAAACCAGCACTACCTGCATCTCACCAAAGAATAAGAAACAAAAATCAAGCTTTAGCAGAGAAACAATTTACATAACTGAAATTTCCTCAAAAATGTGACCTGAAGATGACATGCTACACAAACAACAGAGAAAAGCTGGCAGGATTCAGTATCTGAAGCTGATGGAGCTCAACACTCCTCTAGCAAAAGGGCTGGCAGTCCCATGGTACATAAGGCATCTTACAACATCGGAAGGTTTTTAATCAGGTGATTTTTTAATCCCCCAGGTAGAGAAAGTAAAGAAGTGATTATACGGGTATGAATGTCACCCCTGCGCAGACACTCTGAGAGGCAACTTAAGGGCAACAACTATTTTGTGCCAACATTCAGGTACATATATTTTATCATTTGTGCTTAAGGAAAATTACTCTCTGAAAATAACTATAAGCAATGAAAGAGGGAAAGTAAATGTGTGTGTGGCTAAAAGCGTTTTGCTTTGTTTTATAAAGCATCCACCCAGTTAATCTGTGAGCTTTTTAAGGCCATCCAGTTCTACACTTCAGGAAATTGGGCAATAACGTCAAATTAAAGAAAAATAATTTTATGATTATCAAAGGATCACTTAAACCACAAGAAAAGCAAATCACCTGAGGCAGAATTTAGGAGCCAGGAAATTTCAAAAAGTTCACCTGTCTACAGTAATTTTCTGTTTGTTTGCGACTCAGAGAATGAGATGTGTGGTCTCCACTGAAATGTGACTGAACCTTCTTAGCAAGTTTTTTTTAAACTAGCTGTTAGCTTCATACCCCTTAACTGGCTAGGCAGAGACAGAACATGAAAGGTTTCTGATAATCAAGCCAAGCAACCTAGCTTTAATAGGACTGTAAAAGAGGCCACTTACCCAAATCTGAAATAAACAGAAAAATAGCACAGAGCTCTGAGCTAGGCAGGGCATGGCTAAAGCTAAAGGTGCTGGAAAGAAAAGGCATCTGGACTGGCACACGACCTGCAAGAGTCTCTGTTCCTGACACATCCATGGAGCCAGAAAGGCAGATGATGGAAGCAAAGGAAGCACCCCTGAGGAAGGGAGGCAGAAAGTGATCTTATAAAACTCTTCAAAAATAACTTGTGTCTAAGTATGAAACAAGTTTTGAAAATGCATTTTTCTTTTAATTTTGAGAACTTGGGAAAAGGGGTAAACAGACTTGTAAAACAAGAGAAATTGCCAGTAATGTAAAACTGAAGAACAACAGATTAATTCACCCCTAATACCATGAGAGAGGGCTTCCAAAGGAGACCATCAAAAATGCATGGCTAGCCAGGGCTGGCCATCACCCACTTCAGGTAAAGCCCTTCTACCAGTCTGGGAAGTTGGGGGGAAAAAAGAAGAAAAGGACAACAGTAGTAGAAAGAAAGAGTATGGCAGGCCACAAAGTAAAGCTAAAAGATAGGAGAATTATTTCCATGTCTTTCATTAAGATTTAGGCTATTAACGCAGAGTTCAGCTAATGAACACATATTAATATGAGAAATATGGAGCACAGGACAGCTCAAAAACGACATTATTTGCATTTCAAAAGGTTAGGCAGAAGGGGACTGTAAGCTCAACCATTTAAGTGAGCTCAAATGGAGACAGAAATGGCAAAAAAGAGCAGCTCTTACTCTAAGGAAGATGGGGATGATTGCTTTGGATTTTATTTTTATTACTTGCAACTGTGTGATGAGTGCTAGGAATGTTATCTTTAAACTAATTCCTAAGCATGTGATTTATTAGGAATATACTGATCAAGTCTTTAAGGGTAGATGCTTTAACTCATAGCTACATTCTGCAAATACAAAATAGGAAGTGATTTGAAACTTAAATCTTAAATCAAAAAAGCTCTTGGGGACTCCAAGAATGATCACAGTTCAGTTAATTTATCAAGCACTTACAACCACAACAGAAAAACTCCCCCAAAAACTAGGGGTGGGGCAGAAACAGATGCAAAATATGAACTAATGCTTCCAATAAAGAGTACGATGTAAATACTTTAAGAGACTGGGAAAGCAGAAGCCCAGAGTGCTAGAGGCAGTCACAATGTATATAGCAAAGTGTCCTAGCTTTCCAGTAGGAACATCTGAAGCTTCATGCTTTTTATTAAATAAAGATGTCCCACAAGTTTTAACAATCAGGGCACTCCAGACATCTTTGTAGCATCCTAGGGAGATGGGGACCCCCAGAACTAACTCACAGTGCTAAGGTTTTACAGTCACACAGAGGTCTGGGCACAAATGCAGAAGACCATCTTGCACAGAGAGCTGCAGACACACAAGAGGAAGCCAGCAGTTACCATGCCCACAACTCTCCCAAGCAAAAAGGATTATGAAACTGTTCCCTAATTAACCCCAGGCAGAGCCAGCCAGGTTAGCATTCACATCACTGAGCAGGCATGATGCAACCTGGCTCACGTAATGTAAAATGGACAAGGGAATGCTCACGTGATCCCTTCCACTAGCAGAGATGCAAGGTCTTAAC